AACGTTAATTANTATTTCACAATCCAAACTAATATTTACTATTTAGCATTTACTTACAGTAAATATTAGTTTGGATCGTGAAATATTTAAAATAAAAAAAAGAATAAAACGAAATAGGGTTTCAAATTACCTATCTATAATCTAATATTATAAAGAGGTAAAGTTTGTGTGTTTGTATATTTGTTAAATTGTAAGGGGTAATCTCGGGATCTACTGAAATGATTTTAAAAAATCTTTCACCAATAGAAAGCCACATTATATCTGAGTGTAATAGGTTATATAATAATTAACTTTTTAAAAAAATAAAACCGACTTCAAATGCGTGAACACAAAAAAAAACTAAAAATTAAAAAAGTTCATCCCCAACTTTCCACCCTTGGGGGTTGTTTTTTCTATTATTAAATTTAAATGGGACCACCCTTGAGGTATTACCTATACGCCGAAAAAAGATTTGTTCAAATCGGTTCATAATTGGCGGAGTTATCGCGTAACAAACATAGAAAAAAAAACATACGGGTCGAATTTAGAACCTCCTCCTTTTTTTTGAAGTCGGTTGAAAACCAAAAAATTCCACGAGGGCGAAGCGGCGGGCGGAAAGCTAGTTTATTTATAATTATGTAAGAGCATAATTATTAAAGTCGAAGTCAAACATTCTTTATTTGTGTGGCGTCAAATATTTCAAGAAAAAAATTAAAAGCTAAATTTTGCTCTCATGGAGCCTTTACCTACTCTGACAAATTAAGACTTAGAGAAGAAACTAATAATAAAACTATTTAACTGTCCTGCAATGAAAAGCTTGATTGGGTANAGGGAAGGAAGTCAACCTAACTTAACCAACTGCGTATTTCTATACTGTGTAGCTGGAAATTGTGGCGGGAGCTCTTTGACGCGCTGTTTTCGGCGAAGAATTGCGCGCGCAGATTTTGACAGCGCGAAATACCTACTTTAGAAGAAATACCAAGCCTTAATTGTCCTGAAGCAGTGGTAGGGTTAATACTGGGACGTGTAAAAGTGCTTTTTTTAAGCCTATTCACAGAAATAAATGAGTTTTATCGATTATAATTAAACATTAGAACATTCAAGTTACAAAGTTCGTAAAATACCAACCTACTTATTTTTATGATTTAACGTGATGAAATAGAGTTTTAGATTTTCAAGTGAAAGTAAAGCATAGCCTAAGCGCTTCGCGTTTAAGGCATGCAAGATATTTTACGCTCCTGTCTAAATTAATCTTTTTTTATTCGGTCAGACAGGCGTTGGAGCGCGGGGCCCCCAAATTCGCGGGGCCCGTAGCATTTGCTACTCTTGCTACGTGGCTAATCCGGCACTGAGTGCAGTCCTCCTTCTTATCAAACCTTTCTTTAAATCTAATTAAAAGGTATTGTTAGGGCTCTAGGGACTACAAACGAACCAGGAATATAGCTTGGTTATGAGTAACCAATACCTACTACCTATAACGCATGTAATCCTGTCTCATTCTAATATATGGCCGCCTGAATAAACTTGAATGAAAAAGTGTTTCCACTGTCTCAATTGCATCAAAAGCTTCAAACAAATCATTTAATTCAGTTTCCATTTTGCCGAATAGGCGTGATTGACATTAAGCGAAAGTGACAATATGCGTGACAGTTGTGGTGACAGTGACAACCTGCACGCGCAGTGATCGCCATCGCGGTCGCGGCAGTGTGAAACAACTTTTGCACGCGCAGTGGTCGCCATCGCCATCGCCATCGCTGCACGCGTTGGTTTGTCCGAACCTTAACTCAATGTGTAGGAAAGCACTTTATGAGTATTTCAAGGGATATGACTATGAAAAGACTGAGAATCTACTTCAAGAATATGCGTAAGCTATTACTTATTATTTATCGTATAAAATATAAAGTCAATGTTATTGTAAAATTATAATCAGTAAATATAAGCATAAATTTATGTTGTATTTATAAAGTAGGTACTAGCTTTTGCTCGCGGCTTCACCCACGTGAAATTACGTTTGTCACAGATCGTCATAAATTATAGCCTATAATATGTTATTCTGGTTTATAAACAACTAGCAATCCGCCCGCGGCTTCGCACGCGTGAAATTTCGTTTGTCACAGATCGTCATAAATTATAGCCTATAATGAACAATAATACTGTAAAGTTTCATCAAAATCCGTTCAGTGGGTTTGAGCCTATTCATTACAAACATACAAAAATAGGTACAAATCTTTCCTCTTTATAATATTAGTATAGAATCAGATAATACTGCGGAGTTTTATCAAAATCCGTTCAGTAGTTCCGTTCCGTATAGTGGTTTTTACGTGGAAGAGTAACAAAAATCCTTTCGCACATTCTGAGACACCCTGTATACCTACCATACTGGGTGTTACTGTAAAAAATGTATTAAAATCCGTTAGCCGATATTGTCCAAAGATATTTATTTATACATTAACTTTATTTACAAAAAACAGTTAGATACCAAGTTCACACACTGAGAACATCTTCTAACCTTCTGAACTCAAGTTTTTAGAGTTCCGCGGTCCAGCAAAACTAAACTTGTTGTTTATCACACGCACAGGTAAATGTACTTTTGGCTGTATGATTTCCGCAAGTAGGTAGATCCTAACAATATATGATGTACCTATCTATTTACGTGCAATAAATTAATAAACTATACTCACACACCCTGCGGATGATTTAAGAGGTAACTAAGAGACAAATAAGTGAGCACCAAACTTCCCCAACCCGTCTGATTAGTATGGACTGTATAGACCAAACCCTACATTTACCTCTGGTCTGATAAATTAAAGAGGGTTGTGCTCCGCCAGTGGATAGTGTACCTACTGGACTACTAAGCAAAAGATAACCGTCATTTTAGTAACTTAATTTTTACCACTGAATTAATCTTTGACGTTAGATACATTTCTCGACTCACACTTGGCCATTCAACACTTATAAAAGAATTTTCGAATGTTTTCAAGCTGAGAAAAGCCACCGCACTTACTTCACCATGGTTTTAAATTATTTGATTACTTTATTTACAACATGCTTTTATTTTCTCATAATATTGTTCGGTTTATTAGTTTTAATAAAAATATATTTGGTATTAACCCTGCGTACGTGCACGTGCAAATCGAATTTGGACGGTAAAACTGTTGTCATCACCGGTGGGAACACGGGCATAGGCTTTGAGACGGCGAAAATTCTCGCCGAGCGCGGGGCTCGGGTGGTCATCGCGAGCCGCAACGTCTCCAAATCCCAGGCAGCGGTGCAGGCGATCATTGCCGCCACGGGAAACAAGAAAGTAGAGTGCAAGTCACTGGATCTCAGCAAATTTTCCAGCATAAAGCGGTTCGCCGACGACTTCAACGAGAATTACGACCGCTTGGACATTCTGATCAACAACGCCGGCTTCTCGACCTTCGAGCAAGTCAAGACCGAAGACGGCATCGAAAAGGTGATGCAGGTGAACCACGTCGGTCACGTCTATTTGACCAACCTGCTGCTGAACAAGATCGTGAGCTCCAGACCGAGCAGGATAATATTCGTGGCGTCCGGGGCGCACATGTGGCACTGGTTCGATCCGAACGACATGGTGGGCAACAAGCCGGTGAACGTTTGGACCCGGTACAGTAATACGAAGCTGTGTAACGTGTTATCGGCGAAGGCGTTGGCGAAACGCGTTCCCAAGGGAGTGACGGTCAACTCGCTCCACCCCGGGGTGGCGAAAACGGAGATTTACGAAGTGGTGCCGGGGCCTTTGAAGGCTGTATCGCATTTTCTGCTGGGGACGTTCTGTAAGACGCCGGAGCAGTGCGCCCAGACGTCGGTGCACGCGGCCAGCTCCCCAGACCTGGCCGAGGTGTCGGGGCAGTATTTCTATGATTGCGAAATCTCAAAACCCATTAATTGGTCGGTTAACGACGAATTTGCGGAACGAGTCTGGGATAAAACCATCGCGTTAATCGAAGACAGAACTCGGCAATTAGATGCTAATGCTTTAATTCAGTAACTAGTTATTTTAGGTGTATTGGTCAATCGGAAGTTGCAAAGATAATCGGAATGTGATAAATAAGTTTAATAGTCTTGTAAGTACGAAAAAAATAAAACCTAAGTAATGTAGGATTTTTATTTCTTTGACCATAACCATGAGCAATAATAATAATAATGCTAATTGCCACTAAGTTGGAACTTAAATTATAAACCAATAAATGAAATAAAAATAATAAACCCACGGCTACGCAACGCAACACAATAGGCAGTTATAAATATTGATAGGGTGATTAGAAATCCAACTAGACTATCCATCCTAGACTGCATCTCCAGGTGCGATTGCGGTCAAATACCTGCCTTGTCTAGCATAAAAAAAAACTAACCAAAGAAAATGAGGTTTTAAAACCCACGCACACTACCTCTGGGCTATATCAATTAAAAGACAAGCAATTTTCAGCAACAATCATTTATTAGTCGTTTTTAGGGCTCTTGGGGCTCTTCGACCAAGACTTGCCGTTGCCGGCCTCCCAGGGCAAGGACCAGCTTTTCGACCGCGCGCGGGGCACCATAGGGGTGGCGGGCTCCGACGCGTGAGGCTTTAAAACCACTGATACCTCTAGGCTATATCAATAAAAGACAAGCAATTTTCAGCAACAATCATTTATTAGTCGTTTTTAGGGCTCTTGGGGCTCTTCGACCAAGACTTGCCGTTGCCGGCCTCCCGGGGCAAGGACCAGCTTTTCGACCGCGCGCGGGGCACCATAGGAGTTGCGGGTTCCGGCGCGTGAGGTTTTAAAAGTACTGATACCTCTGGGCTATAGGAATGAAATAAGACAAGTTTTCAACAACAATCATTAGTCGTTTTTAGGGCTCTTGGGGCTCTTCGACCAAGACTTGCCGTTGCCGGCCTCCCGGGGCAAGGACCAGCTTTTCGACCGCGCGCGGGGCACCATAGGGGTGGCGGGCTCCGACGCGTGAGGTTTTAAAACCACTGATACCTCTAGGCTATATCAATAAAAGACAAGCAATTTTCAGCAACAATCATTTATTAGTCGTTTTTAGGGCTCTTGGGGCTCTTCGACCAAGACTTGCCGTTGCCGGCCTCCCGGGGCAAGGACCAGCTCTTTGACCGGGCGCGGGGCACCATAGGGGTGGCGGGCTCCGGCGCGTGAGGTTTTAAAACCACTGATACCTCTAGGCTATCTATCAATTAAAAGACAAGCAATTTTCAGAAACAATCATTTATTAGTCGTTTTTAGGGCTCTTGGGGCACTTCGACCAAGACTTGCCGTTGCCGGCCTCCCGAGGCAAGGACCAGATTTACGACCGCGCGCGGGGCACCATAGGGGTGGCGGGCTCCGGCGCGTGAGGTTTTAAAACCACTGATACCTCTAGGCTATCTATCAATAAAAGACAAGCAATTTTCACAATCATTAATTAGTCGTTTTAGGGCTCTTGGGGCTCTTCGACCAAGACTTGCCGTTGCCGGCCTCCCGGGGCAAGGACCAGCTCTTTGACCGGGCGCGGGGCACCATAGGAGTTGCGGGTTCCGGCGCGGGCGCGGTCGCGGCCTGCGACTTGCTGCGCGAGCGGCGGCGCGATCGCGAGCGAGTGCGGGAGCGGGAGCGGCGGCGGGAGCGGGAGCGGCTGTGATGCGATCTGAAACAATTTCAATTTTGTCTTAGGGCAATAACACTAAATCTTAGGCCCGATTTGACCAAACTTTAATCCGAGAATAACACCTGGCATAACTGGCACATTGACAGTTTCAGTGGGAAATGTATGTCAAAATGTCGAATAACAAACTATTTATTCTGAGATTAATATTCACACTTGTTTGGTCGAATCCACCCTTAGTGTAATAGCGTTAAACCGCCTACTTGTGCCGTATCTTTTGTATTTCTTTCTTTCTGGTCAAGTGTGGTGTACAATACAGTGTGTTCTATCTATCTAAATTTGACAGTTTTTTCCACTTTTGAGCAAATTAATATATCCTAGGAAAATGTTTCGGACTTCGGACTTTTGATTTGCGCAACTTGTTATGCAAATAATACCACTTCTTCAGCCAGACAATTCCCGGATGTGTTGTGCATAAGAATAAGTACCTACCTAAGTGTGCAGATGGAAAATTGTATTCTGTGTGCCTACCATGAGTTTACGTTAGGTGAGTTCGCTAGCGAATACGTCAAAAAATTCTATGAAGGTCTTATTTCTTGAAAGTAGCCACTAGGGGCGCTGCACAATATGTCATACATTTAAATGTCATTTTTTTACGCAGTCGCTAGCGAGCACACCTAACGTAAACTCATGGTAGGCACACTGTTTATGCGAGTTAAGTGAGCGCTACTGTATTTGCTCTAGCCAGTTGGCTCCCTTAGTCACTCACTTCGGATTTGGATCGCAATAGCACTCACTAGGTTCCGGTTCCACCATAGAATAAGGTCGCCTCACTCGCTAGTGGCGCGAACTGGTGAACGCAAAAGCCATTCCCACCTTTTGTGCCTTTTTCCTGTGTTGCGGATTTCGCCACGCGTGCGGATGTGCTCCGCAATTACGCAAGCTACACGCACGCGTGCCGAAACCCGGATCACAAGAAAAAGGGGCTTATTCCACTATTACCCGTTGACAATCCCCGTTAACGCCAATTGGAGCTTACAATGGGGAATAATGAACTAAAAAGTTAATTAATCCCCGTTATATTAGGATTTTATTTTGAACGTAATGGGGATTAGTGAACTTTTTAGTTCATTATTCCCCATTATAAGATCCAATTTAACGTTAACGGGGAATAGTGGACAAAAAGTTCAATTATCCCCGTTAATAGTGGAATAAGCTGAAAAAAGGCACTTATGCCCGTTTTCACCATCAATCCCTAATTTTTAAATGCCCCCTATGGTAACACATAACAGGCATTTTGTTTTCATTGGGGTCAATTAAAAATTAGGGATTGATGGTGAAAACGGGCATTAGGCACCACTCGAAACGCTAACTGGAAGCTGCAACTACAATAATGAACGTCACTTACGGTGTCTGTTAAAAACCTAACATTATCTCAAAAACAAACAAAACACGCTTCATGTAAGTATTTTGAGACAGCCCAAACGAGGTCAGGGGTCTAGAGGTGTGACAATACTGACAATGTGTTGAGGTTACGTAAAAAATGGAAAACCATCGTTATTTAACTTTTTTTTTATCAGCTACAAGGAGGATTTGTTGATTATTATTTTAAGTTTGGACAGAGTACATATCAGCAGCAAAAAAGAGTTATAAATTAATTACTGTTTACTTGTTCTTATTTCTTAAGTGCTGTATTCTGATAATATGTTTAATTTAGGATGTCAGTGCGTATTTACTACGCAGGCGTAATATTCCGCCGTACCTTGGTCCAGACATGTAAGGGAATAGGGTAGTTGACAGTTTGACACCACCCGTGTATCGACTGACTTTTTTATGCATAACAAGGCAGGTATTTGACCACAATCGCACCTGGTGTTAAGTGGGATGTGGGATGCAGTCTAGGATGGTACAAATCTGCCATGTAAGTGCCTATTCACTCTCGCCTTGAAAAGGCCCGGATTATAGTTTTCGGGAAAGACAGCAGCAGGCAGCGAATTCCAGTCCCTATCTGTTCGCATTATAAGTCATCAAAACGCTTAATGCGAGCTAGTGGAATGTCATATAGGGATGGTACGTATATTTGCCAAAAAAAGCCGAAATGATGTCAACTGATACTATAAAGCAAGCTTATTCTTTGACCTGGCGTATGTAGCATATTATGTAAATTTTTTAAATGTTTTATACGTGTTCAGTTTGGGTTAAAGAGCATTGCTTTTCAAATTTGTTATTAAGTAGGTCTTCGTACGCAAGACATTTGTGTTAATAAAAGACGGTGGTTTATATTTAAATTGATCGAGAGAACTACTACCTATTAGAAATAAACTCATAACCCAGGGGACTAAAAAGCGGAGCCTATTATGTCTTGCACTGCACTATTATGACATGTTCACTGTTCAATGGGTAGTTGGTTTTTGGTACAGACGACCGCACACATCAGACTATAAATTTTTGTTGCAAAACAGCTTGTATTAAGACGATATATGTCTGAACCTACTTGCGAGTTGCAATATGTTGTAATTTATGTACAAGCCAGAACGAAGTAAGGGTAATCGTCGCGTGCGCAGTCATGTTTTACTTTCTTAATGATTTATTCTGACTCCAGAGGCATGTGCCCTCTGTTTAAACTATCGTCTGTAGTGTGCGGGGACACTTTAATCCTTAAACGGCCAAGGAATCGAAATTTTGCGTCCTTAAGACAAGGGTATATATAACGTTGAATTTAAGGTGGGAACTATATTTCCACTACCTCAAGGGTTAAAGTCAGCCACTAGACTGGCTCACCTGGGTCTTCTGCTTCAAGAGCGTGAGCGCCTGTTGCTCCGCGACCGCCGGCTCCTAGACCGCCGCGACCGCGACCGCGAGTATGACCGCTGCCGAGACCGCAACAACGAGTCTAAGGGTTAAAGTTAACCACTAGACGGGCTCACCTGGATCTTCTGTTTCGAGAGCGCGAGCGCCTGTTGCTCCGCGACCGCCGGCTCTTAGACCGCCGCGACCGCGACCGCGAGTATGACCGCTGCCGAGACCGCAACAACGAGTCTAAGGGTTAAAGTTAACCACTAGACGGGCTCACCTGGATCTTCTGTTTCGAGAGCGCGAGCGCCTGTTGCTCCGTGACCGCCGGCTCCGTGACCGCCGCGAGGACCGCAACCGCGACCGCGACCGCGAGTATGACCACCGCCGCGACTGCGAGCGCGAGTCTAAGGCCTCAGCCTTGAATTTAGCGGGCAGCGGCGCGGGAGCGGGGCGGGCAACGCAGACCCGTTCTCGAAACAAGCGGGCAGCTCACGCGGCGCTTTAGCGGCGAAGTGTTGTGTTCGGGGTTGTGGTGAATCTCGATTCAAATTTATTCCTAACGCTCGATTTATTGTGGGCAAAAGAAGGTGTGCTGCCCGCTCGTTGCCCGCTCCCGCGCCGCTGTTTTCGAGAACCGGTCTATTTGATTTTACGCATAAGATCTTGCCGCTACCGCCGCCGCCCCGCTGCCCGCTAAATTCGAGGCTGAGGCCTAAGGGTTAAAATTAACCACTAGACGGGCTCACCTGGATCTTCTGCTTCGAGAGCGCGAGCGCCTGTTGCTCCGCGACCGCCGGCTCCTAGACCGCCGCGAGCGCGACCGCGACCGCCGCCGCGAGCGTGACCGCGAGCGCGAGTATGAACGCCGCCGGGACTGCGAGCGCGAGTCTAAGTGCTTGTTCACGTAGGTACGCGCGGGCGCGGGGGCGGGCGCGGGCGCGGGAAACGTCGCGAGCTCGTGTTCACATTGACGACCAGGCGTTCGCGCGAGTGTGACGTACTATCGTTTCTAGCGACAAGTTCAAACTGGTTGAACTTACCTGACGTCGCGAGTGAAACGCGCGCGCCGCCGCTAGTTTGACATGAACACACACAAACATCTTCACACGTTGAAATTACCGCGAGCGCTCCGCGCGCACCAGTCGCTAGCTTGCCCGCTAGTCAGACCGCACCTGCGTTTCGTACGTGAACACTTAGAATCACTACATATGTTTGATATTTCGTCACCGCGCCCGCCACCGCGCCCGCGAGTCAACGTGAACAAGCAACTAACTAAGGGTTAAAATTAACCACTAGACGGGCTCACCTGGATCTTCTGCTTCGAGAGCGCGAGCGCCTGTTGCTCCGCGACCGCCGGCTCCTAGACCGCCTCGACCGCGACCGCGACCGCCGCCGCGACCGCGACCGCGACCGCGAGTAGGACCGCCGCCGGGACCGCGAGCGCGAGCGCGACCGAGTGCGTTCTCTGTCTCGGTCGTCGTGGCCGTCGAAGTTCTTGTTGTATCTGCTGTGGAAACAGAAAAATACATGTTATAGCCTGACCAGGAACATAAAAACCCTGCCATAGAGACGCGTCAATTGCATTTGACAGTGCAACACTGAGTACAGTCGTACCTGTGTTATATTAAGTCATTGAACGCCGAGACGCTAGACACAATAGAAATTGTATTGTTCACCGGTGAGCCGCGTGGCGTCCAACGTGTTAATAGGCTAACTTTATGTATCAGGATTCAGGATTACGGGCTAATTTGATATTTTCATAAATTAACGAAAAAATATTATTATAGGTAACCTGGTTTAAATAAATTAAATGAAACCATCAATCGAGCTAGTAGGATTTATTTTATTAGTCATCATTTATCAAATTCAGAACTTTAATATTCAACTGCAGTCTGCTCATGAACACTTCAAACTCGGTACTTCTTTCCCAATTCCATAAAATTCAACACTTAGAAAGTGACAAAAAACTTTAAAATAGGTAGTTGAAACAAACCACAGCTAATTTTCATAGTGGACTGTACTATACGATAAACATGTCAGTCAATTTGACGACCTTTGTCGAAAACATTATTCAATGAAAATATTGTCCGAACCCTTAGTATTTCTCTTCGACAAAGATTTTAACACATTGTGAACCATTTTTCTCTCACGACTATAAAAAGATTTTAGCAATATACCTAATTAACAAAATCAATTGCGCACATCTAAAATAAAGTTTGTTTACACTTTGACAGCAATAGACTGCCATGTCAATGAAGTTTTCAGTTACAACAGTAACTGAAAACTTCATTTTCATGGCAACAGCCATTAAAAGAAATTAGTACCATTAGTTTTCCGCAACATGGCGAGGGTTTTTATGTTCCTGGTCGGGCTATACAAATTCCAATACATAACGTCGCAGACAACTTTTACGTTTTAGCACGGATAATGCTCGAATTGATACAACTGTATTGGGCTAAAATAAAATGTAGTCCACTGCCCGATTTAATTAAGGTCGCGTCGCCAATTTTTTTCACACTGAACCCGAACGCGCGGGCACTGGCAAGACGCTATTCTTGGGGATTCACAAGATAGTCACTACCTAAAAGCGTATAGCGACATTCACCTGTTACAAAGCTGCATCGCGTACAAAGCTTTGGAGTTTTTAAGATGACATCTATCAAGAAGGGTATAGCTACACTCACTTCTTGTAGGGCTGCATCAGCTTTTTTTTTTCAGGGAAAAATTCATGAAATAGCATACCTACCCTGCAAGGACAGGGTTGTGTGGGGGCTCCCCTCATCAGAAGAATGAGATGACGCATGCCCGCTAAAATAACCCGGGTGCTCCGTCGATCATCTTAGTGGGAATAAAGCGCTTTCAAATGATACCAAACACGGCATATTTATCTTAACTTTATTTTTTTACTCTGTATGTTTTGTCCGCTAGAGGGCGCCACATTAGATTTTGTGAAACCCCATACAGCATATAACCAGCGGACAAATAAGACGCTTCTAATGATGTCATTTGTCGAATTCTGATAAGTAGTTTAGAAGTTACGAGGGAACCGATGAACATACATACATACATACATAGCCTGTCAAAATCATAACCCTCCTTTTGCTTTGCCGTAGTCGGGTAAAAACTAAGGGAATCCGGACAAAGCTTTCAACTACCACAGTTATGGCTGCATTACTTATACAAAGCTTCAAAAACCATCAATGTTCATCACCTATGCGGGTATGTACTCACTTTAAAATTATCACTTTACGGGATTTATTGCAACAATATCTATTTTAACGGTAAATAAAATATTTACCCTCCCGACGTTTCGGCTCGGTTGCACGAGTCATGGTCGCGGGCAGACTGAAGAGGTGCGGCGTCGTAATATATATTACGGCGGCGTTATAACTAGTTTCATCAAAATCCGTTCAATAGTTTTTGCGTGAAAGAGTAACAAACATCCAGACATCCAAACTTTCGCATTTATAATATTAGTAGGAGGATTATAATAGAGTTGCATCGCGTCCACAAGGCTTCAAAAACCATCAATGTTCATCTCCTATGCGGGTATCTACTCACTTGTTATAATGCATGTACGCGCGGCCGCGGCCGCGCCCTCTCAGGCGCGGGCGGCGCGGCGCATAGGACTCCGGCGGCGGGTAGTAGCCTCGCACCGGGTAGTACATCGAAGGGTCGGCCTGGTACACGCCATCTGTTTTTAACGTAACAATTTGGTTTGTGGCACCATTCACCAATAATTCGAAACCACAACTTTTTTTAAAAGACACTTTGTGGTCTTAAAAACTTTATTAACTTTAAATTAGCTGTAAATTAAGATTTTTGGTTGCATTGATAAAAAAATGATAAAAGTAGTTTCAGTTAACAATATAGTAACGTCACAGGCTTGTATTGCCATACAAAACCAATGAGTCTCGTTTTGACAATTTATAATAATAGGTACAACATCAATGGATTGGTGGTGTGAACCTAATAGCGACTTAACACCATAGCCAATGAGGGCTATCGTTTTTATACTTAACAGTTGGCACCCCTGGCGATTGACAGGATCTTACTCTACAGTGGCGCCATCTTGATGAGTGCAAATGCGATAGTCCTCCTACCACTTTCGCGCTCACCAGTTGGTGCCACTGTCTTCGCTACTAGCAAGTGACAGGACCTTACTCTACAGTGGCGCTAACTGGTGAGCGCTAAAACGATAGCCCTCATTACAATCGACACCATTCACTAATTTATTTATTTATTTTAACGAACTAAAGTCGCTGACCGTAGGAGAACCAGAGCGACTGACATATTATAGCCCGCAGAATCGCTAAAATCAAGTGGCAGTGGGCGGGGCACATAGCTCGAAGAGCTGATGGCCGTTGGGGCAGAAAAGTTCTTGAGTGGCGACCACGAGCCGGAAGACGTAGCGTGGGCAGACCTCCCACTAGGTGGACCGAGGACCTGGTGAAGGTCGCGGGAGGTGCCTGGATGCGAGCGGCGCATGACCGGTCTTTGTGGATATCCTTGGGGGAGGCCAGCAGCAGTGGACGTTTTTCGGCTGAAACCTCAGATCATAGAAGGGAATAGATGTGAAACGGGGGCGTGGCGCGTGTCTCCGCGATATGCCCAGAAACGAACATCGGCCGCGTAGCTAGGTTAGTCGCGATTCAGTCGTACTAAGGAAATGTTCTCCGATATTTTGGATAATGCGTCGTTATATTGTGCAATAAAACAAGTGAAACGAAGAACTACAGGAACAATGGAGTCATTTACTACATGTAAGTATTGCAAATCCATTGGTATTTTGCTTATAAATAGAAAAAACTAAACATTTTTACGAACGAATTCAGTGCCGTAACAGTTACTGCGATATCGAAATCAGTGGTGATAAAAATTCTAACACACTTGTACATTGACGATTTAGTTAGCAACCACTTTATGTCATGCTCAACTACTGCGCAATGTATTTAATTTCTTCCGATATCCACTGTCGTGTGAAAATACACAGTACGGCCGCATGTGCCGGTCGTAACATAGTGCCGTGCTCGTGTTCTAATGCGGTTTCCTATTATCGATAAATAGAAGTAAATTATAATTTTCTATTTAGTAATTTTAAATAAAAAAATGATGTAGTGGCGCTCTCTTGGTGAGTATAAAAGCGATAGTCCTCCTACCGCTTCAGCGCCCACCAGTTGGCGCCACTGTCTTCGCCACTAGCAAGTCTACAGTGATGCCAACTGGTGAGCGCTAAAACGATAGCCCTTTTTGACATAGTTTTTATGCTTTAGCTGTCAAAACGCACCAATCCCTTTAGCAATTCAGTCAGACCCCCTAGACAAGTGTGATTTCGAAATCCCTTCAAAAAGCGAAGTAAAATACATACAAAAAACTCCGTAGCAAAGGGATTTGCCACATGTCTAGGGGGGCTGGCTACTCAATTTTCGCCCGTTTGGTGTAGTGGTTCGCGTACCGGATTACTTATTATTATTAATAATGATTTAAATTTACCGTTACACGTACTAGAATAAAACCTGTAAAAATACACTGGACCGCAAAGAAAAAAATACCTACATACTAGCTCTATGAAAAAAAAAACAAATAAAAACTACGCATTTATTTCATTAAAATAAAAATCTTGAGTCAATTTACTCTTCATTTCATAAAGATAGGTTAAGTACGTTCGAAGATTTTCTAACCAACCCTTTTTCTTTGCGGTCCAGTGTAATATAAATTTACCGTAACATCGCACTACATTAAAACCTGTAAAAATAGTTTTAAGTATAAATAAAATGCTATGCCTGTGTTCGAAGACAACCCCAAAGGCTGATATAGATAGGTAAGATAGTCAGGGATTCTCAAAGCAGGATTCGCCATTCGTTTGCGACAAGATTTAGAAAGAAAGTATTTATTTGATGCGAGTATTAAAAGTAATGGTGGCAGAATTAAAATTGTCTAAAATTACTCCTAATATTGACTCCATTTGCGACAGTTAACAAGCATACCTATCATATGAATATTTTGTAATTTATTGAAATTAAATTTACTTTAGGGCTAATTAGCTAACTATAGATGAACTACAACAAACCGTCCCACCAGTAACATTGACAGGGCGGCGTCACCTTTAATACTTACCGGATCGCTGGTTCCGATTTTTGCCACGTTGGAAACCGTTGACCGATGGTGGCGCCCCCCTGTCAATGTGTTTGGTAGGACAGTTCAGTGTATAGATGAACCACGCTGAACTGTCCCACCAAACTCAGTGACAGGGGGGCGCTACCATCGTTCAACTTTATGGTTTCCAACATGGCAAAAATCGGAACCAGCGATTCGGTATTGACGGTGGCGCCCCACTGTCAATGTCATCGATAGGACAGTTCAGTATTTTGGAACTATAGTTCATCTTTATGGTGTTTGCTGTCACCTGTACCTCTAGCATGAACAACTTTCGTCTTCGAATAGTTTGTGTATTCGACAAAATTCAATACTCAACCTTCGAATTAAACGATAACCTGACAATATTGATTCTCAAAATAAGATTCGTGCAACCATTTCTCATACTAAGTTCACTTTACGACACGTTCACAAGGGCGCTGTTGTAGTTTTCGTACTAAATCTATGATGGCGCGATGGCGATTCAAATACGCAAACGATTCGAACTTGAAAGTTTTTCGTGCTAGCCGTACTGGTAATTTTTCAAATTCAAATAGTGTTTATTGTGATTTTTACAGGGGTTCGTTGAAAATGAGCCTGAGTTTGAGAAACCCTGAGCTAGATAAATAAAAGAATAATAAACAAATGTAACTGCTACTCATACTTTGCGGCGGGAAGGGGTAGGCGGGCGGTGCCATGGCCGCGAACGGGTAGCCGTAACCGTACGGCATCTGGTACATGCCCGCAGCTGGAAAACAATCATTAAAAACTTATAACACCTACTTGTAATACCCATGTTCACAAATAAAAATTATTTAAATTGATTTTAATTAAAAATTCATTAATTAATTGGCTGAATATACAGATGTGAGTGATTCAGTCGATATTAGCGAAACTGATGAGCTTCCACCATTGAGGACATTTAAAAAAATAATTACCCTTAATACCCTATTCCACAGACTTTTCATGAGTTTAAAAAAAACATAATTATCCTTTATAGGATTAGTTGGATTCATATTTGTATCAATGTAATCAAAGTACATGTTCAGTTTTTCCCAAAATTCAAAAATGTCTGGGAACCTTTGCATTATTTCAAATAAGACGTGTTACGACGACGTAAGTTTATGCAGGACAGTAGTCGTCCGTTTGTAGGACTCTGGTCTGGTTCAAACGTCTAATTTGAAAGTCCTTAAACTTACTCTTTTTTTTTCCTATTTAAAAAAAAATATATTAGTAATTTGTGTAATAACAAATTACTCCCGTTAGCCCCCTCATACTAAGTTAAATATGCTTGTATCACGAGTGAGCTCACCACAATAGTCGAGCGGCGGCGGGGACCGAACAAGGATCACGAGTCGGCCAGTCCGATCCCTTCACCGTTTGGCTATTGTGGCTTCAATTTACCATATTACAATCTGTACGAGAAAGTAAGCACCTTTCTAACATCGTGAATCCATACCAATTTATCATAGAAAGTAACAATACAATTTCCTGACAAATACCTTTATATTGCATCTCCCGATCGGGTGTAGTGACGCGTTCCGTTTTGATCCTCTTGACATCCTCCTCGCCAGAGGACGAGCTGGCTGACTTATGGCGCGGCTTCTTGGTCTCGAGAGCCGAACGGATCACGATGCGACCTGAAGATATAGCACACCAAGTTTGTATTGTTCTGGGTAATTTTTGATGGAATAGGTTGTAAAATGTAAATTATAAACTTAAGAGTGGAGAGAGCAGAGACTAATAGCCTGATGTCAAGGAAAAAATGACCTTCCTATACCAATAGTGTTACAATGCATATAGCCGGTTAAGTAAAAAAACTGCTCTCAATAAATCTCTTCCTACAGAATTCAGACCTAATTTACTTTTTTTAAAGAGCATGGACATACCATATGTCCTTAAGCCGGGCGCAGACCACCGACTTTTAGTTGGCTGATAGTTGGGTCAGGCTTTTAATCAGTATGGAGATTACACTGACCGATTTATCAGTCGACTCTTCATACAAATTAGAATCGGATCCAACTATCGGCCGACTAAAAGTCGGTGGTCTAGGCGCCTAGGCTAACAATCTTCCCTCAAATGGAGGAATATAAGATTTTCTTATGCAGATGTTAGGAAATGGAAAATTTTAGTATATCTTCACACAAAAGCAGTTCCTCATACATTATTCCTGAGGCTCATACAGTCTTACCATCAAGCGCGCATTTGAGTTGCTCCCGCTGAGATTCGAGCATGACCTCCTGTTGGCGCTTGTAGCGCTCGACCATTCGCGCGCGCGCCGAACGCTCGCCCGCCGCGTAATAGCGCTCGTGCTTCTGACCCTGTTTTTGCTGCAGATCCGGCCGTAACTGCAACAATTTAAACCATTTTTATAAAACACTGACAAGAAATTTATAGACATACTAATTTATTTTGTTAATGTGTAATAAGTTGAAATCTATCCTTTTCCAATATTACATACAGACAGGTGTTCAACTGTGATTACATAAACCTTATCATTTAGGTGCATATAAGTTTTAAATAAAATAAATTTATTTATTATTTATTTGTTATTTATTATTCATTATTGAGCAATTACATATTTGATCCAAATAGCGTCCTAAATCCTTTATAAATAATAAATAACTTGCTTACTTGTACAGAACACTATGGAAAAAAATGCATATTCTTTATTCAGTTATCATTAATTTTGAGTTCAAAAGATTAACATTAATTTCAGTCTAAATAGCTTTAGTAGTTAAATAGTTAATTCATGAATAAATTCTGAAAGAATATTTTAGCACATAAGCTCTCAAAGTATTTAGTTCCAAATAAAGAGAAAATACCAAAACAGGGTGTCCACTGCAAATGTTCGAAAAAATTCCCTGACTTTTCCCTGACTTTCCCTGACAATTTTCTCAAATTTCCCTGACCAACTATGTATACAACGTGTCCCAAAATTCAAGGATAAGCCGACGCCACAGGATGGACATAGTCATGATTACTTTAGGAAAAATAATGAAAAAAATCTATCTCAATTATTTTTTAACTTACACGATAAATTATGAAATTCAACGAAAATTGACACCCCTTATGATATTTTACATTACCACGACCACAATTTTTCAATTATTCCTGGTTTTCTGTTTATATCGGCAACTTAAGTAGTGCTGCTGTTCACCCCAACTCTTAAAACCCCCAGAATACTTGCAGTTTTTACACAAAAGTTAATCAAAATATTTTATTTCCTTAAAATTTTGAACGATTTTTACTTTCACACCACTTTGACTCAACTGCTCACTAGTCTGCACTCAATAATCAAATCAATAAATAATTATAAAAAATATATAAATAAACATAAGTTATAAGTTGCACTTTCACATCGACAATAGAAAATATATCATTTTACTGAAACAAAAACGTACAACTATTAAAACAAAAAGGAGTAATCTAGTTATGACAAAAAAAAATCATAACAGTCTACCTATTAATCTATCACTCTAATCCTGAAAAAAAAAACTATATGAAAGTAATCTAATTATGAACAAAATTGTGTCATAATTTAGATCAATCCACTTCATTAGATAAAAAACTAAAAAGGAGTAATATAATTATGACTAAAAACAAAGTCATAATGTAGATCACTCCAAACCTGAAAAAAAATTGCTTCGATAGTCAAGATCAAAGGTCTTTCTAGAGCATAAATTAATTAAATCCCTTATTTTACAATCACTGGGAAATTTCGGGAGACAAACAGTGTTTTGGTAGACAAAATCTCAATGTTTCCCTGACTTTCCAGGTGACCCCTCTATTTCACTGACTTTCCCTGACTGCTATGAGCTTCCCTGACTTTTCCCTGACTTTCCCTGACTTTCCAGAATGTGGACACCCTGCAAAAGGATGTGTTAGGCCGTTTGTAGACATCCGTTTTTTCACCGGACGACGGACCGTCAAAAAACTGATATCCTTTGTTTGCTGTCAATTTTCTCGCCGACAAAATTCTCGACGACTCTCGACCTATGTCCGATGCATGTGCACACGTTCATTATAAATCATACGCCACCGCTAAATCCGGTGAAAAAAATCGGGTCGTTGTCCGGTCAAAAAAACGGCTGTTTACAAGCGGCCTTACATACCTCTATCCTCCTAAACAACTCTTCAATTAATCTGATAGCCTGCAATTTCTTCTGTTCCTTTATAAGCTTGTTCTTCTCTTCAACCACTCGGCTGCTCAAGTCCACGTCGTCGCGCTCCATCAACTTGGCCAGCTGCTTCCTCTTCCTCCGTTCTTCACGCTCCTTCATCTTCTGAAGCTTCTCGCGCTCAGTGCGCTCATACTTTTGTCTTAAAGAGTGAAAAATTATACGTGAGACTCTTTCTTTTTGTCTGCAACAAGTTTGCTACTACTTTACAAATAATGGTGTTTAATAAAATAAATAAAATGCTACAAATCCTAACCGTCACCACTAAAAACTCATGTCATTTATTTTTTGGAAACAAAAGCAGTTTTAAACATCCTAGTAAACTGTACCACAATTCCACATGCTGTATTTATGCTAAACAGAAAATTATATGAATTAATGAATTAAGTTATGAAGAAAAATTGGAAATTACCTTTCTTTGGCTTCTCTTTTGGAAATTCTCTCTTTTTCCAGTCTTTCTTCCTCATCCTTAGCTTTCTGACGGACCAGAAGTCTCTCCCGGACGATCGCTCTTCGCTTCACAGCAGCATCGGTCATGTGTTTGGTTTTGTCGAAGTCAACTTTAATACTGCACCACTCAGCAATGTCATCCTTTTTGCGCAACAACTTGCGCCCCCTCAGAGCATCCATACATCGAACAAAACTAACATATTCACTGTACTGAATATAAGCTTCAAAATAAACCTTGGCTTCTTGGGGAGGTGTGGTTAAGCCCCTGATAGCTGCTTTCATCTGCATCCTATATGGATCAGCTGCTGGCACGTCCACTTGACGAACTGTGCCATATTTTTCAAAGATCTTTTTAATCAGATTCTCAGATGGTGGGGAATCTTCATCGTGGTCTCGATCAGACACAAACCAACGTATTGGCAAGTTTGTAATGTGAATGGTGTCTGGTCTTTCCCCTGGTTTCATTTCATCCATATCCGTTGCATCGCGGAAGAATGAATCCCACGAATGGCGGATCGGGAAATCCGACTTGGCTTCAGCCACTCGCACCTTCAGAGGCTCTGGATAATCTTTCAACTGCACTATCCGATTCTCCAGACGTGACAGAACTCGTTCCAGCTTGTCGCGATCTTCTAACTCTGCTTCGTACTTTATCACCTCAGAACTATGCTTGCTCACTTTTAACACCGAAAAGGACTCAGGTTGGACCATTTTCCGTATCTTCTCCATCAATTCCCAGTTGGAAAGCGACTTGCCGTGGACCTTGTGAGTAGGGAGCTGAATAGAAATATTTAGCTTTGCGAAAGATTTTAGGTACAAACGCTGCGGCAAATACAGAGCCACAGCGTCTGATGTGTCCCTACATACTGTTATGTTCATCGTGAAAGGTTACTCTACCCTATTTCGTAAGTATTAGTAAACAACTATTCCAGTACATCGAATAATGAAAATTAACACAAATAAAACAAAATGGAATGATCCTAACAAGCTTAAACCCTACAAAATCCTAAATATATGAAAGAAATGACCAAAATATTCAGCGTCTGCTCCCATTTTCCTTCGTTTCCGCGGCACAGTCTTGAAGCAAAAAGAAAGAATGTTATATTTTTAAAGTTTTAAACTAAAACACTTGTTCTTATTAATTGTGATAACAATTTGTGGGATAATTTTCGATAATAATTTAATGACGAATCGGCAAAGAAATTTTTCGCTCGATTTTTTGACACATGACGTTCTTTTTTTTAACCAGTAACCATTGCAGTTCCATAATTAGGCAACTGATATTGAGCATTTAAAAAAAATCAATTCGATTCGATTTCAAGAGATGATATAAATACATTTTTACCTTAAATAGGTATCAAATAATACTACCTACTCCCCATACCTCTTTAACCTTTGGCGTGCTATTGAGCCGCGCAAAACTGCACCCGCCAACTGCTACGGTTTTCAAATGATGTTTCAAAATGACAAAGTAGTCTTGTCTTAGATCTGAGACATAGCAGTTGACGGAGGTTGCACAGATCTGAGACAAAGCGAGAGGTTAAGACAATGGCTTACTACTTACTAAAAGTGACAGTTGCAATCTGCAATGTCGAAATCGACAACTCTGGCACATAAGCACGTCCCATAATGTAGACAAGGCATAACCACAGCAGAGCACGTAATAGGGCATAACGCTTCTTATTTTCTAAATCGCATAGGTACCTACCTAAATAGCAAGAGACGATGCGAGAGGAGGCGAAAAGAGAGGAGAGGAGGACAAAACCGTGTGTGGTAGGCAACGAAGGCATGGTAATATTATCATATAGTATTACCGTGACGAAGGGTTCAAAATACACCTTATCTCCTCCAGTCTCCTCTCTTCTGCCTCGCTCACCCTGTATGCTGACGACGGGATTGGGTGTCTCCGCTATTTGCTCTCAAATTAAAACACAGTGTTATAAGAATCCTTTTCTTTAATTTGTTTAAATACAGAATCGAACAGTCCAAATGGACATTGCTTGAAGAGCTATTGCGTAAAACTGCAATTTACATCTGATATACACACACCGGCAGATTTAGAGGAACGGAAAAAAAAGCATCAATATCATCATTATTTTAGGAAAAAAATGCCTAATTATGACATTATTTTTTAATTTAATTCTAAATATGAAAAAAATAATTGCCAACAGTATATTTTTTTAATTATTTTGTTTAAATTACCCCATCAACAGTTTCGTTGAGTGTTTTGAATTGAATGAAGCTTTTGCTAATTTGGATTTCTTTTACGTGAAAGATGTTTTTTTCTGAGAATTTTGTTGTGTAAGCATTCAGTTACTTATAAGGGTTTATTATGCCCAGCTTAGCACCGTCAGAAATCATTAAGGCAGATGAAATGAGAAGTAACGGCCATGCATACAAATCGGCTGCCGTAAGACGTCGTTGATCAGTATCGACCACCCATGGCAGTAACCAACGGTACAGATTGATCATTTCTGTCGTTAGGAGGAGGGTTCAAGTCAGAAAAAGGCGTACTTCGCGACGGGATGACCGTTTTTTACAACTTCGAGTTTTCAGAAAGTCGCGGTTACCTGCTGTTCAAGCCAGAAATAACCTTAAAGACACTCGAGGAGTAAGAGTGACTGAGCCCACAGTTCACAGGAGATTTACTGAAGTTGGTATAGGGTCGTGCATACCCGAGAAAGCTCCAACTTGTGACACAGCACCGAAAAAACATATTGAACTTTTCACGTGAATATCGTGATTGGGTCTTGAACGACTGGAGGCATGATCTCTTCACTTATGAGTGCAGAGTTCTCTTAAACCAGATCGATGGAAGATAGCGAATATGGAGACACAAAGAGAACGTAACATTTAGTCTTAATTTTGAAAATATCGTGGTTTATGGAGGTAGCTTAATTCTGGTGTGGGGAAGGATTTTTTTGGGAGCTCGCACGGAGTTAGTGGTGGGTGATGGAGGAAATACGACTTCTGAATGGTACACTAGGAACATTTTAGAAGAACATGATGTGCCATTTACTCCATTTATTGTGGACTCCTTTAGTTTAATTCACGATAATGTTCGTTTTCACAGTGCTCGCTCAGTACAGGCACATCTAAACCATTTGGATATACCCATGATGCAGTGGCTGGCAAGATCCCTAGACAAGAATCCTATAGAGCATGTCTTGGACTTTCTTAAAAGATGTGTTAAACTCAGAATACCACCGGTGGTGTTGAGAAACGCGTTACTAGAGGAATGGCAGACATTGCCCCAAAATACCCTTCATATCATTAACTGCAGCATGCTCAGATGAATGGAAACCATCATCAGAGCAAGAGGGGGAAATACCCATCATTAATTCATTCATTTGGATAGTGATAAGCTACCCTAATTTTTAATCTGGCCACAATTTCTAATTTTTGTTCAAAACTGAAAAAGTGAAATTTCGTTTCGATGATTTTTTATTAAATAAAAACGACTAAATATTTAAAAAATATATGTTATTTTATTTTATTTTAATTATCTCTTTATTTTGTATAATAAATATTTCATAGATCAGTAGTAATTTTCCTTATTTTCATACTTTTTTTTGCGTTCCGCTAAATCTGCCGGTGTGTGTAATTTTATATCCTGTTACTTACAGCTATGTCATAAATAAATTAACATACCACGCGTACACAGCTCTGCATACAATAAATGTTACATCTAAAATTTTGATTGTATAGCAACTCTAGAGGCCTAATCAGCGATTATAAAATTTACAAAAGGATTAAATAAAATAAATTTGCATTTTCGCTATACATAGCCATTGTCAAGTACGTTGGATTCCCGATTCACAGTACTAATGTTAGGAATTAAGAAAACAAGTACAACGTGTTTGAAATTCGTAGTCTATCCAACAAAAGTACCCTCAATTTGTTACAATGAGATTTTAATTGTTGTCTAAACAATCATAAATTAATTTTAGAAAAAAGAACAGACTGTATCAAGATTTGATGAACCATAGAAAATAACCACAAGTAATGTCCAACATTCAAATACTGCTACAAAATGTTAGGGACATCACCTGAAGAACAAATTAAGTAAGCAAGCATTTCCAAACGACGAAAATATTCAGTTACATTTTTACAAAACACTTCTTTGTATCAAAAGTATGGAAAATTTTCGATTCCACATTTTTAGAATTACATGGGCAGTCCAAAGTGTTTTAGTTTTAAGATACTTAATTATCGAAAGTAGAACATAAATTCTAAATTAACACTAAAAATACAGGTTGACTGGTCGAACGACAGACATGCATAAAGATGATCCTAACAATATAAAGTATAAATTTTATTTCTTAAAAGATGAAGACAATTTTAATTTCGTTAATTAATTAAAAAATCTTTGTTCAATTCTCCACACGTCGTGCGACCAGACTCCCTGTATATCCACAAGCCGAAGCTCAAGTAGCCAAAATTTATAATTTTTGAACTTACATAAACTTCGGCATTTGATCTGTTTTACAGTTTTGTAGACTTTGTCTAGCGTATACATTCACAGAAAAAGTGTATCAGGAACAAATTTCCTTTCAAAATGATAGCTAAATTATCATTAGTTCAACTAATTGTTTTGTCACTGGTATGTCTCAAATCTAAATCTTTTTAGATAATGAGTTAAAATAATTGTATCAAGCAGCAAGTGATCACGTTATGGCCAATCAGTATAGATAAGTTTTCGATGTAGCTCAAATAATATAAAGTATCCTAATATTCGCCTACATACTTGTGACTTAATTGAAGACTTATTAAAATTGTGATGATAATTTATAAGCGTCTTAAGAATTCGAAAATAATACTTATTTTTAGTACACTAAAATTTAAGAGTTATTTTACAATAGGTACATATCAAATGTATTGCTTGAAATCACATTACTGTGAAAATGCAGTTTAACTTTACACGCACATCTACCTATTTACAAAATATTGTACATACAATGCCAAGACTTACTCAAAGAAACTCTGTACCATCGAAACACTCTGATATTATTGAACTAAAATATTAGCATTCACAACTTTCTATACTTTTTTTGATTACAAAATAATTTAAAATAAAATCTCAGTCTTCTATTAAATAGTTATCATTGATCATATAAATTAGATCTTCCCATTTACATTAAGGTATCATACATTTTGTACAGCATTGTGAAAATTGACATTAACACTATGGTAGCCCGTGCAACACTCAGCCAGAGACGGCCGACACGATACCTCTAACATTGATAAGGATCACTTGTGATATTCACAGCTACGGAAGCACATCTATATCTGACGATTTCACATTTACATTACAATTTGCTAAGTCTTTCATTAGTGGAAAATATTTTTACTACACCTATGTAGAAAGTTCAATGTTTGTCAGATAGTCCAATTTTTAAACTATACAGAACATATAACTTGACAGCTGATTATGAGGACACTCCAGTCATGGATGTTATTTTAGTTCTTATTATTCGCCACGACACCTGCCACACTATGTAATAAATAACGCCTTTTCATATCCTTCTTATCAGATCACTAGGGTTCCTTCTGTAGCCAACTTAAATTGTGCGGTTTAGGCGCACGCGCCGGATTGTATACTATTGTAAAGCAGCACGACCACATCGTTATTATAGCACTGCAGCTGCCCGGGGATTCAATCCACTGGCGAACTGTTTTAGATGGTGCGCGCATTGGGCCGTATTTTCGTGATGTGTAGTAGGTTCAGCTGCGTGTAATCACGTGAAGCGTTACGGCCCTCTGTCGCGGGTAGTGCGGTTCAGTAGATTTCGCACAGGCAGTACTCGTGTTCTCGTAATGCACAATCACGTGGTGTGCAGCCGTTAACAGCACTCCCCGGTTTTCAATCAGCTGCTTTGTGACGCGGCACGGTCACGTGAGATACGACCCTTACGGCCCTCTGCCGCGAGATGCAGCCGTGGGGTAGTGCGGTTCAGTTGGTGATCATGTTCTCGTAATGCGTAATGCGTAATCTCGTAGTGCACGTGGTGTAGTGTACAGCCATTAAGAGCGCTCCAGCCACAGTTTCCAATTAGCTTTATTGTGATGCGACACGGTCACGTGAGATACGATCCTTACGGCCCTCTGCCGGTGCAGCAGTAGGTAAGTTTGTTGCGGCGCTTCTTCTCAGCACTTGCTTGCAATCAAATACAACATTTTTTTATGCATTTGCATAATTAGATTTCGGATAAAGATAATGTTTTTTTACTGAGGTAGTTTTTAAGACCTCTCGCGACCCCCTTATAAAGGCTTCACGGCCCCCCAGGGGGTCGCGACCCACAGGTTGAAAAACACTGGTCTAAACGAAATAAAGAAATTTTGACTTTGAGTTTGACTTTGACCTCAGGGGACTGCAGTTGAACAGGCGGCGCGCGAAGGCAGTAATCATGATCCTGAAGCGCTTGATCACGTGGGCTCGTCTCTCAGTTGGCGCGCGCTCGCTTGGCGTGGGGCGGGGCGTGGGACTGGGCGTGGGCGTGGGCGGGGCGTGGTGCCAGCGGCGCCAGCGGGGAGTCGTCGGCGGCCAGCCCGGACCGCAGCATGTACTTGAACTGCGGCATGTGCTGCATGACGTCACGGATCTGAACGAGCGCCATGCCGTTCTCGCCGGCGGCCGCCGATTTGCACTTGCCAGAGTTGCGGAGCACTTGCAGTTGGGTTCTGGAATAGAATGCCAGCTTTAGAATATCGAAACCTACTACTTTAGTACCTACTGCTAATAGTGGTGGGATTTTTTTTATGTTTATTGCATAATAATAATATTATTATGTAGTAGTCCTGTAATCCTATAAATCCTATTGACAGCGTTTTGTACTACTAGGAGCAAGATACATGATACACAAGAACCTAATGTGAGTGACATTAAATGTATGCGGATTGTACAGCGCCCCTAGCGGGAAACGTTAAAAAACTATCATACATTTTTATGTAAACTCACACTCAGCCCAACAGTACTGCTAATGAATCATTAGTAATGATTATGTAGGTACTCTACTGATAGTGACTGTACTGTATTGATAGTGATTGTGTACTGTATTGCTAGAGAAGTGCAGCAGTCGGCAGCAGGTCGGGCAGCGTCATGAGCGAACGGTGACCGTGTACTGTACCGCCGGTGACCGTGTACTGTACTGCTAGTGCGGGTACTGACTGGTTGGGGCGGAAGAGCGTGAGGCCGAGCGCGTCGAGCATGGCGCGGCAGGTGGTGAGCGACACGCGCGGGAAGAAGTGGCTGGCCAGGTCGGGCAGCGTCATGAGCGGCCGGTGACCGTGTACTGTACTGCTAGTGACTGTGTACTGTACTGCTAGTGCGGGTACTGACTGGTTGGGGCGGAAGAGCGTGAGGCCGAGCGCGTCGAGCATGGCGCGGCAGGTGGTGAGCGACACGCGCGGGAAGAAGTGGCTGGCCAGGTCGGGCAGCGTCATGAGTGGCCGGTGACCGTGTACTGTACCGCCGGTGACTGTGTACTGTACTGCTAGTGCGGGTACTGACTGGTTGGGGCGGAAGAGCGTGAGGCCGAGCGCGTCGAGCATGGCGCGGCAGGTGGTGAGCGACACGCGCGGGAAGAAGTGGCTGGCCAGGTCGGGCAGCGTCATGAGCGGCCGGTGACCGTGTACTGTACTGCTAGTGACTGTGTACTGTACTGCTAGTGACTGTGTACTGTACTGCTAGTGCGGGTACTGACTGGTTGGGGCGGAAGAGCGTGAGGCCGAGCGCGTCGAGCATGGCGCGGCAGGTGGTGAGCGACACGCGCGGGAAGAAGTGGCTGGCCAGGTCGGGCAGCGTCATGAACGACCGGTGACCGTGTACTGTACAGCCGGTGACTGTGTACTGTACTGCTAGTGTGGGTACTGACTGGTTGGGGCGGAAGAGCGTGAGGCCGAGCGCGTCGAGCATGGCGCGGCAGGTGGTGAGCGACACGCGCGGGAAGAAATGGCTGGCCAGGTCGGGCAGCGTCATGAGTAGCTCGGTGTACTGGTAGGGCTTGGCGTTGATGCACGGCACCATGGTGTTCTCCACTAACGCTTTCTGAACCTGAAATAGAACGCTAGTTAGTCGCTGTCAAGTTTTATTGAGCTGTAGATCCTGGCTACACAGGAGTTGCAGGTGGGGGCGAGAGAATGGATCTCCAATGCATCATACTTTTCAGAGTGGTGTATACGATATAGACAAAAAAACAGTATTTCAGACTTGATAACAAGCGAAAGTTTTAACCTTCAACCTAAGACGATATAATTAACCAGAATTTTAAAGGCGTATTTTCCAAAGTACTACAAGTAAGTAGCAGTAATCGAAAAAAAAATAGACTAATCACGTTTCAAAGTTCAGTTTTTATGACGTAGGTAATTGTTACTTGTTTTTGTAACTTTTAATGCTAAATGTATGTAAGTACCTACGTCATTGGCCAATCAGGATAACAATTAAGTGTCGCAGTTAAAATTGTGCAGGTCTATTCAAACACACGCAGTCTCTCATTGATGTGCATTCTTTCCAAAGTTTCATATAAGCTACTGCATTCTCATCAATTGCATTCGAATGCATAGCATGTTCTCGGTTTCGAGTGTTTAGGCCATTAAATATCCTCAATTCGTTATAACCCACTAGAAGCCGTGGGTAGTGGTTCAAGGTCACCCTCACGTGGCTCGACATCGATTGCCAGCATTAGGGACTTTGCGTATCCATTATCATTACTCAAGGTCATTTTTAGGTTGCCTAGTAATTTTGGTCAACTAAGGCTCGATGATACTCGATGCCAAGATTTTCAATTTATTCTGGTATGTTCTCGTTTTTTTAACGGCAGTTAACGAATGCTTTTGATGAAAATGCGCTTAGAGCAAGCAGAAGAAGCGAGGTGACGCAAAATTGGGAGTTAACGTAAATAAATCAAGGATGTCAATGTTATGAAGACGAGCCCAACACCACTTATCATACAAGATAGAAAACCACACACACACAGGCACAACAGAAATAAAAAAGAAGAAAAAAAGAGAAAAACCTCATCGAGAGAACGAAAGAAAAACAAAAGTAAGGAATAGAAAACAAAATAGGGAAGACGCTTTAGCTCACCTTATACGGCGTATGGTTGCCAGTAATGTGAATATCTGGTATCGCTGTAAGCCTTTTGCGGCTGTCGACGGAGTGAGAGGTTGAGTGGCCATTCATTGTCCCAGTCACCTGCGACGGCACGCTGCTGGTAAAACACAACAGATTCACTGCAAGTTCACACACACTATGCTATAGGTCTAAGCACACGAGGCACTGTGACTGAAGTTTTGCAAGCTGAGAAAATACCCCGCAATGTAAGCGAAACACCCTGAAGTCAGTTAGGTCTGATGGAAGGCCTATGTTCCATCTTGAACAATATGGGGTAATTTTGTCATATAATTAAGTACTTTACTTTTTTACGTCAAACATTCAAATGACGCGTTTCTGTTACTTAGTAAACCTAAAAACCCGTTTCTTTATACTAATCTGATTTATATTTTCTATCAGATTAGTTCTAAAGCTTCTATGCATTGTAGGTACCTCGATAATCCTATTAGAACTGTGAGATACCGTGACTTTGTGCTTTGATCGTCCGTGTGAGAGAATCCACGGTTTCAGACTCCTGTAGTCCTGATATGGCAGTCTTTTTTCAGTCACCTCTTATTCTATTTCGTCTAATTCAACAATAATGAACCTACATATTTCATTTAGACTTTCCTAATAAAAATACAAAATTATTCTTTGTCCTCTAATTTAGATAATGGTGATGATAAATTAAGACTGCTTAGAAAATACATAAACCCGTTTTTTTTTTCTTATAAAAGCCAAATAAAATAATATACATAATAAATGTAAGAACATCACAATAATATGATAGCCAATAGATTAAAATATATCTGGAAATCAAACAGTTTTTTAGAAAAATATGGTGATTGGAAATAAAAGTTAACACTAGTTTTATGGAAGCCATAAACAGTGTCAAGACAATGGCGAGTGGAAGGTACTAACGTTACACCAAATACTTTGAGAACAGCTATTATTATTTCTTTACAAAATAAAAATGTAGCATTTAAGTAGGTAATCATAACTCACAAAAATAGAGTAAAAGAAAGGTCACTTGACTCAAACGCGCACGGTAGCGGGTCTGAGCCAAGTTCGCTAATAAAAGCTGTTCTCCAGTGGACTATAGTCTGGTCTGTGAGCACGTAGAATTTTGTCCAATGACCCCAAGCTACCCATCCTTATCGCTCGCGCGTAATTATGTTGCTGTCGCGCTCGCACACTTACTGCGAGCGCCCGTCGCACAGTCGCGACAGCAATATAATCACGCGTGAGCGATAAGGATGGGTAGCTTGGGGTCATTGGACAAAATTCTACGTGCTCACAGACCGGGCTTTACAGAAACTTGATTGAAAAAGATGCTCACTTCATTGTCGATGTGTTGGCTGAGCTCCTCACCAGAGGTGGAGGGTGCTGCTGGCCCATCGCCATTGTTATTGCACTGTTCGGAAACTGAAATAAACGATAACACAAATATGGTTTACGTGCCGCTATAATACCAAATGGGTGCCGTAGCTGAGATGAGGACCGGCATTAGTCAACATACCGATGCAATACAAATAAAGAAACTGTGTTTGGCGAGATACTTATCACGTTATTAACGCGTTATTAGCGGCGTTTGAAGTGTTAATTACCTAACGAGAATAGTATACATTAAACACCGCATAATGAACAAAAAGAAATCACACAGATGATCGACATAGTTACATAAATAAATAAGATAAATACGTGTCTACTTTTATCTATATCTTCATGTATGGAGGTGATGCAATAAAATTCAAAATTGGTCAAGTCATTCTTGTTATAGATAGATACTTCACATAACAGTGGCCTACTTAAAAATAAAGTGTAGACCAATATTCCTAGCAGATTTACATAAAGAAATAATACGTTGAGAAAAGGCAAGATTAGCCTAGCCTTTTGAATACAGTAACTAACCAACCCCGCGATTTCATTCGCACATGTCGGGGCACCCAAAAAACTACTACTATTATGAATAATTATGATGATGTTAATCCAAAACTTGATCATACATCTCCAACTGGAGAAAAATTAAATTACGACTTATCCACCGCGGCGGAGTGAGAGAAAAATATATTTATTTTATTATGTCCAGCTACCCATTTCCGTTTTTTCTCTCGCTCTCATCAAATGGTGACTGCGATAGAACGAGACAATATGACCGGAAATGGGTAGCTGTGGCCGATAGTATCTACTGTAACAGCAGTTATTTAATAAGCAGTCAAATGGTGACTCTACGATAGAACGAGACAATATGACCAGAAATGGGTAGCTGTGGCCGATAGTACCTATTGTAACAGCAGTTATTTAATAAGCAGCATCAGTATAGTAATTGTTTAGTAGGTACCTGGTTATTCCTTTGGTGTTGCGAGCGGTGCTGTGGCATGGCGGCGGCGGCGGCGATGGCCGCGTTGCTGTACCGCGCCGCCGCCTGTGCCTGCGCTGCCACTTGCGCCTGTGGGGAAACCCCGACCATTAATATCTAACATAGATAGATGTAGTTTAGGGTATAGTTTGGTCTGCGAGCATGTAGAATTTTGTCCAATGACCCCAAGCGACCCATCCTTATCGCTCGCGCGTACTTATATTGCTGTCGCGCTCGCACAGTCGCGACAGTAATATTTTTTTTTTTTTATCCACAAAGAGGAAGCTCTTGGCCTGTATCTCATCTGATGGTGTGACGATCAGGCCGAAGGTGGAAGCGAGCTTCACCCGGAATCCTTAACCACCGAGGAACTGGCTATCTTACCTCTAACTGCTGAAACACAACAATGCTGTTAACACTGTTGTTATGGCGACAGACTTAGGTAAGATGGTGGTAGCTAGCCAGGCGGACTTAGAACAAGCCCTACCACCAACCAAACCGAACAGAAAAATCTGCCCCCACTGGGAATCGAACCCGGGACCTCTGCGTCTGAAGCAGGTGGTGGTACCACTAGACCACAGAGGCGGTTAAATATAATTACGCGCGAGCGATAAGGATGGGTCGCTTGGGGTCATTGGAAAAAATTCTACGTGCTCACAGACCGCGGGCTTTAGGAGGATAAGAATCATTATTATCAGTTGGGCAATCGCCGACGAGCCAGACCCTTTAATAAATGTAAGTTATTCAGTACTGCAAAGTGACTGCGAATGTCGTCGCTTCAATTAGTAGGATATTAGGATAGGCAGACTTTAACAAAAAGTTGTAAAAACTGTTGTCAGAGCATCGTCATCGTAAGTTGTATCTCCGAATCATTCCAGATGATAGAGACAGCTCTATCGTCGTATGTCAGATCGCATTTCTCTAATAACAAGCTAATCTGTCGGTATTTACCTGAGCCACGTGAGTAATGCCAAGTGAAGAAAGGCAGCAGTGGTGACTTTGGCGTTCGACAGTTGCGGACAGCCTGCTGCACTTTCGGCTTAATGACTTCGATAAGCATCAGGTGCGTGATATGAGGCTAGCTAAGCTACAATGAGCTCTAAAACCGGCGTGTGCCGTTGCCAACATCAACAACTCGTCAATGTACCTGAGCAAGCCGCAACACGTGCTGCGTTTGCGCTTGAGTGAGGGTCCCGGGGAGGCTCCAGCCGTTGGCCAGGGCTTGTACTGCTGCAGCGGATATGCTAGCCGCGTGGGGCATTTGCATGGCGGCCGAGGCCGGGGAGTGTCGTTGGGAGCCCGGCCGGCGCCCACGCGTGGACGCCGTCCCGACGCCCATGCTTGCAGCGCTTCCCACGCCCACGCCCACACCGCCGACGCCTCCTGGGGGCGGCACGGGCGGCGCCCGCGTCCATTGCCCGCCGCCGGCGACTGAACCTTTGACACATAGCTAACATTGAGTCAATCTACACATAGGTGCACCGCAGTTTCCCGCGTTTGTAATTTGTATCTGAGTAGAACAGGATCTTTAACTTGAAAATGATTAATGTCCACGACCTATCGTTTATTGTGCGACATTAATATTGTGGTGCAAATCAGAATATATTTTTATGTTTTCACTCTTTCAATAAATCACTTTTTTCAAGTGAAACATCCTGTTCTTACAAGGTATACATGTTCAACTATGAATGCTTTAAATATGAAACAATTTATTGAAAATATTTCACACACAGACAGATTTATGTTCCAAATCTTGTAACCTTTGTTCATACACAATAAAGACTTTATTACTTTACTTTACTTACTTTAAATCTACTAAACGATTAAAATACCTAGACTGGAAGTAAACGTAAGTGTTCAGAAAGGTCAAGCAAGTACCCAAAAGTGGCTGTTCACTATAAACTTGTTTGCAAAAAAGCGCGCCAAAGAGTTTTCTAGGTGGTAATTATACCTAATTATAATGTTTCTGTTATCCCAACTATAATATTATAAATGCGAAAGTAACTCTGTCTGTCTGTCTGTCTGTCTGTTACGCTTTCCCGCTTAAACCTCGCAACCGATTTTGATGAAATTTGGCATAGAGATAGTTTGAGTCCCGGGAAAGAACATAGGATAGTTTTTATCCCGGTTTTTGAAACAGGGACGCGCGCGATAAAGTTTTTCTGTGACAGACAAAATTCCACGCGGGTGAAGCCGCGGGCGGAAAGCTAGTTTTGAATAAATAATTAAATTTACAAATTACCCAATATTTTACTCATTACATTTAGAAGTTTTAATGTAAAAAATACTACTGTACTATTAATTAAGCTGTATAAATTAAGAGAAGATTATTTTTCATTAGTTTTAATTTTAAACCTTATCTCATCTCAATAAAGTTCAAATGATGGTGGCAACAATTCAGCCATTATCAGTAAACTTCAGTAAAGGGGTTAAATAGTCTGAATAATGACTTAAAAAAAGTTTAATTAAAATAAAATATGATTTTAGAAACAGAATAAAGATCTAGACATTTTTAAACATTATCTCTTAGCCTTTTAGGCCTCAGCCTCGAACTTAGCGGGCAGCGGGGCGGCGGCGGCGGCGGCGCGGGAGCGGGGCGGGTAACGCAGACCCGTTCTCGAAACCAGCGGGCAGCTCGCGCGGCGCTTTAGCGGCGAAGTGTTGTGTTCGGGGTTGTGTTGTCGAGATATTTGTTTTAATTCGCAAACGAAATGTCTGAACAACGGCGACAATTTTATTTCGATTCAAATTTATTCCTAACGCTCGATTTATTGTGGGCAAAAGAAGGAGTGCGCTCCCCGCTCGATGCCCGCTCCCTCGCCGCTGCCCGCTCGTTGCCCGCTGCCGCCCCGCTGCCGCGCCGCTGTTTTCGAGAACCGGTCCATTTGATTTTACGCATAAGATCCTGCCGCTTCCGCGCCGCCGCCGCCGCCGCCCCGCTGCCCGCTAAGTTCGAGGCTGAGGCCTTACAGTCATTTGAGTTGAGAACTTAGCCCAGAAACTACCTAATGTGGGTCAATGAAAAAGTATACTTATAGTAAGGCTGCTAAGGTCTACATTTAGTTGCAGGTGTTAAGGTAGCAAAAACCTTCATGCAATTATTTTGCCTTGACCTACAAAGAGATTATGAGAAAAAACATAAATAGGTGTCTGCCAACTAGTGTGGATTTTAAATATCCATTTCAGTTTTGTATTGGCATTTTAGCATAGTCTGATATTTTTAGCCATAATGTACCTAATTAATTTACCAAGGAAAGTTTGGATGAATTGCATTTGATTATCCTGTTTGCACCAACATTGCACATTTCTCATAAACATTGAGATTTTGGCTTATTGGACTTCCAATATTAGTTCCAATTTTATTGCATATTTATTTAATTGAGTTTATAGCCAAAAAGTGTAGAATGCCTACCTACGCAGCTTGATTTTCTTTAGGTTTAAGTACTTAGAAAAGCTCATACAAAATACTTAATGAATTATGGTAAACAATAAAAAAAAAGGTGCTGCGGTAAGTTTCATGAAAGTTACACACATAAATATTATCGTTTGGAATGAATAAACCCATAATCCACCTTTAAATGCTATTAAATTAAAACAGAAAATTTAGGATCAAGCAAGAAACAACTTTTGAAAGAACGGTTACTTACTGCATTATTCTAAAGCCAAAACAAAATTTAAAACATCAGTTTCCACCAACTGCTGCCATTTAAAAAAGTTTTGAATGTTATTTATGAACTCCACAACAAGTTGATAAAATAGATAATACATGACAAACTCAAGCTCACCTTTTGCCGAGATAAGCAGCTGTGAGTCAACCACTTTGTTGGGCCAGTACTCCTCGAACTCCGTCCCCGGAGGGAAGTAGCTCTTAATGTCTGACAAACTTATCACTGAACACGTCTCACTAGCAAACAACTCGTTCCTTATCCCCTGCACTTTACAACAAAACTTAAGGTACGATAAGTCCCAGCCTTTCAACTGATCAGCCTTTAATTTCAAATTGTCAGTTTCACCTTCAAAATAGAACAACGGCACAAACTTTTGATTGTCTCTCACTGTATACGGAACCACAGATTCCTTATTTATACGAATAAACCCACACTTGTCTTTATTGTTAGTTGTGCCCCTTAATAACTTATTATAACAAACATCTAGGAAATTGTAAAACTCATACGCGTCCATTAACCGCACCACTAGGTCCTTTTGAGTGAAAGGTTCCCGGCCAAACTGGCCGTCACAATGCCTGTTGTTGATTTCGTTCAGGAGTCGCGACTCCACCTCCGTGATGTAGTAGCTCCTGATGCAGGTACACGAGTAGATGTCCGCGTGAAGGTAGTTCAGGTACTTGTTGAGGAGTTTAATCTCCACCATCCGGACCGCCACGTACTTCTCGCCGGAGCGGTAGATGTAGGGAATGTGACACTTGCCCAGCATGTCCCAGCCGAAGTGGCCCTTCCAGCTGGCCTCGTCGGGCGTCGGGCTCTTCTTGTCGGCGTCGGGCGCCAGCCGCGCGTCGGCCGCCGCGGGCGCGCCGGGCTTCCGCGTCAGGAAGTTCAGGATGCCCATTTGGCCTCCCGCGCCCGCCGGCGGCACGCCCACCAGCGCGCCGGGCGGAGGCCGAGCGGCCGCCACCGAAGCCGCCAGCGCCTTCGCCTTGTTGGCCTCCACCATTTTGGCGGCCAACTCCCTGATTTCGGCCTCATCGGGCCGCTCCGTCTTCACCTTGACCGTCGGGTCCGTCATGTTGGCGGCGTTAAACGCACTCTTCAAGGCTGCTTTCAAAACGACACTTCCACGGTAGCAGTACAGGACATCACGACTCAGGACTACATCCTGCGACGATCCGCTAGCACTTTTCAGTCATGACGATGCACGTAAACAATCGCACTTGCTGATCGTGACATAAACTTATCACTTCACCGTTTTGACAGTTGCAGCAGTTTCGATTGATAACAATTATTTTTCATGAAAACACTTTGCACTGTCTTCACAAAACTCGGATCCGTCCACCATGTGACGAGGGTCGATGGTTGCCGCCGGAAAACTGAAGTTTATTTACTGTAGCCGCAAACAAACTTTTTCAAACTGTTTTCCGGTGATTATTATATTGTTATCAGTACTTTTTTGATTTGTATAAACTTATCAATAACTTGGAAAAATAATTTCAGCAAGACACGCTGTGGTAGGTAAGGAACATGAAACCCAAATTTTGTGTTCTGTTCAGGGAAATGCCCAATACCGTAATGTAGTCTCGTGGGGAGTGCGCATCAATTCATGTACATTTTTCACCTTTTGGTGACTCAGCTCGACAAAATGGCCGCCGACGAGGCTTTGTTAGCCAATCAAACAGCTGCTTTCAGCTATACATACCTACAAAAAGTTCTTACGATGACGTCGACGCACTCCCCACGAGACTACTTCTCAAGGACTTTTGATTTAGGTATAGTTTAGAACCTAGAAACTGCATGAAAGTGCTCAGAAAAATCATTCTATTATGTCATCTAAAAATCCAATCATCTCTAGTTATCTGCCTACTGCAGAAATTGATTTAAAAATTAAAACACCGCTAACTTAATAATAATTTATGAATGTACTTTTACAAAGTAGTCACTATGACTAGTCTCGCTACACAGTTCTCGTTACTGTAAGGTGGTTTCAACTTAACAATATTAATAAAACAGACCTTATGTTGTGGCATATAAGGTTTATTATACCAAACTTGTTTTCAATTATGCTCCTTACGGCCGCGTGTAGCGAGACTAGCCGACGCGCGCATTCCATGAACAATAATCCCCAGAGTGAGGGAGCGAGATAGCGTTACTAAAAAGTAGATGTCAAATGTTTAGGTATTTTACTATGAACGTAAAGAGAACGTAGGTAGGTATATAATGCAATTACAAGCTTACGTAAGCACCTCTAACCTACTTTGCTCCTAGCGGTTTTTTGGTTAAATTGGCGTTTTGGACTGGCGATGGCCTAATTTTTTCAAAAACTTGCCCATTTTACGGATCAGTGGGTCTCAGAAGATCACTCCTAAGTAAATAGTTTTATCTATTTAAGTTACTTCCGATTAGCTCTCAGAGAATAATTTCCCTTTAATATTGTCGTCAAGCATAAGAAGATTAAGAAGACTCGCTACGCCAAAGAAAAATCTTAATAAAATACCTACTCACCTACTTATTATTAATTAAAATAAAAACTAATTGCTAGGCTTTTTGCTAGGTAGATAGGTATTTTGAAAAAGTAAAGTTAAACTGGAACTCCAGTTTTTTCACGCTAATATGGGGATAGGTATTCTTCAATAAACCTACCAGCTTGACTTCCTACCTAGGTAGGCCAAGGGTAGGCCTAACTTTGGTCTTTATTTTGTTATTGCTTACAGCCTGATCATTTGAAAAAGCCCGATATTATCAAGATACGACATAGCACGTTCAATCGCTTTCAGCACAATGAACTCCAGGTTCGATTCCCGATTGAGTCAATTTTCTTGATTGAAACCTAGTTATGCTGCAACTGCAGTCAGCATCTTTAGGTAAATAAAAATTCATAATCCTTTTAATTACCTTAAGAAAAAAAAATACGTGTCAGTTTTTATACGACCAGTTTACTAAGACCCCTCAACTTCATAATGTACCTACAAATGAGAGATCTTGGTTGATTGGAATTTATTTCCACGAGTGAAAACGTAGTTGGCTGAGGTTGAATGAGTTTGATAAGACTTAAGAGTAATAGCAGAGTAATAATACCTATGGTAATAGTGATTGATTAAGATTAATAAATTATTTATCATTGTCATCATGCTTAATTTGGTACCATTGCGTTTTTTGTAACCAGATTTTAAAAAGCAAACCTAGCATACATTGAACGGGTTAGTTAAGTAGGTTCGTTCGTTTGTTCGTTTCAGCCGAAAGACGTCCACTGCCGGACAAAGGCGTCCGTCCCCCAAGGATTTCCACAAAGACCGGTCCTGTGCAGTGCAGCTTGCATCCAGGCACATATACAACTAACAGTTAAGTAGGTACATACAACTTACAAGTAGTTTTGGTACTTAGCTTTGGTGAAGGTCACGACGAAAATTTCGACGATTTCTTCTTCTACATACAGGTGATAGGTACCTATTTTCTGCATAGCACAATCGTTAAGGGTTGATTTCTAATAAAATTACGACAATAAAATTCACTTCAGCAATATACCTATATTATACCTACCCTCTAGAAAACCGTAAACCTAAAATATTGTCGGAAACTAGCACCCTCTAGAAAACCGTAAAACCTAAAATATTGTCATGGACTCCAATGCTCCTAGTGTACCGTAGTGTTAAATAATTAATCGATTCGAACGATGTTTAGATATTGATTCGATTCGATGTAACGGGGTTGGTGACCCCCACCATTGCCCCCACTACTGCAGCTCTACCCTGAGTATGACCCTGAGGCTCTACCATGTAAGTTGCACCATGGGTGACCATGTTTTGACCCAGATCACGGAATATTCCTCGGAATATTCCTTTTTTTTGTGTTTTGTGGTTCCGTAAAGACAATGGACAATCTAGTCTATTCGGGTTCTTTGTCAGTCACTTACCAGCATTTTCCCCTCGTACTTCCATTTTATTTACTATTACCACAGTAGATAAATCATATATCTACTGTGCTATTACCTTAAGCTTCCATCGCTCGCCATATTCTTCAAGACTTTCAAGAGTAAGTTTACCTAGTAAGCTCCGGGTGGTTGACTGGTAGAAGAGAAGTCCGTCCATTAAGTCCGGCTTCATGCAAAAAAGTTTCAAGATTGATTAAGTAAGGGGTAAGATTAAGAAGACAGATTCTTAACTTTTGCGATTGTTTGCAGGTTAAAAATAAGTATAGGTACCTACAGCCTACAGTTTGATTAGCTTGCAATAGGTAACTAGGTGACTTTCTCGCAATAATTTGTAGAAATAGGCAGAATAAGTAGGGTGACGGCACCAATCATGGACATGTTAAGCGCACTAAATTAGAATTTGGTTAAAAATGTGATGTTTTATGATGATACAATAATGGTGATTTTTTTTTCGGCACTCAAATAGATGAGGAACATTTAAATAAAACTAATAATCCTGTATGTTTAATATATAATTAATTAAAAATACATAAATTGAAATTTACGAAATCACCATTGATGGACATCAAAATTTCAGTAATGGACACCCAGTTATGGACATGGACTAGGGTTTCTGCTCGAGCTTTCTCGAACTCGAGAAAACTCGAGAAATTTGGCTTCATTCGAGACGAGAAAAATATTACCGGAGCTCGAGAATTCTCGAGTTTCGATTTTGAAGCTTTAATATTCTTGAAAGCCTATTTTCTTAGACAAAAGTAAGTTTTAAACTATTTAATAGGTTAACGTTGCATTTAGACTGGCCTAGTCTTTCCTTTTTTTAACTAATTTGATTTGCAAGTAATGATTTTAACCGAAACTAATAATGTTCACCTACGAGTATGCTATATTTTATTATGTTTGTATAACTGATTGATTTAAAGACTGAAAACTTTTTTGTTAACTATCTGTTAGTTTAGGTNTTAAATTCGTGTATTTTTGGTTATTTGATAAATTTCTCCAAAAAAAGCCCCTATAACAGGTGGTTTTTATTACTTTGCATTATTCTCTATCGTATTACCTTTGTAAAACCAAAAAAAATCGCATGTCTCTATCCCTATCACAACATTTGCTATGATCGTTTAAACTAAGCCTCTCCGGGCGCGCCATTCAACGCTTCGTTAACAACGAAACTGAAAAGCTCTAGATTTGTAATTTTGATAAAGACAAGTTAGATTTCAAATAAAAACCAAAGATTTCGAAGTAAAATAAGCATTTTAGTTAAAATTAAAATTGTCCCTACCTGTAACGGAGAATAATGTTGTGGTAGGCCTTTGTTCAAACTATCATAGAAAATGTTGGGATAGGTATAGAGACATGCGATTTTTGTTTTTACAAAGGTAGGGTGACGGCACCAATTATGGACATGTTAAACGCACTAAATTAGAATTTTGTTTAAAAATGTGATGTTTTTTGACGATACAATAATGGTGAATTTTTTTTCGGCACTCAAATAGATGAGGAACATTTAAATAAAACTTTTTTTTTTTTTTGATGATTCTGCTTCATGGCAATCTGTTTTTTCAACAATAAGCCACTTAAATAAAACTAATAATCCTGTATGTTTAATATATAATTAATTAAAAATACATAAATTGAAATTTACGAAATCGCCATTGATGGACATCAAAATTTCAGTAATGGACACCCAGTTATGGACATGGACCCAATTATGAACATCCATTAATGGACACTTTTATATTGAACACATAAATGAAACAAATGATGCCTCAAATCAACTTTTATTAATGCTATTTGAACTTTCAACATGATCAGTCTTAGATTCCCAAGTTATAAGTACTTACTATCAGAATTTCAATCATTTATAAAGTTATTTATTTTATTAAACATTAATAGAGGCTTTGCCTCTTTGCCAGCAACTGCAACTTAGAATTGGTAACATAATATAAATACATAAATGAGATCTATCAGGTAAAAAATTAGAATCTTAGCAATACAAATTTACAAATCTAGAGCCACTTTCAGCTTTGTTGTTAACGAAGCGTCGAATGGCGCGCCCGCAACTTGACTTGACGCAGACTACGGCATTACTGGTGAGACTGACAAGATATATTATGCTAACGAACACCCATAAAACACAATTAAAATATAAAAAAAAAAAACGATAAAAAAAATCTTTTTTTCCTAGTACAACTGTGACTAAAAAAGCATATTCTTCAATGTAGAAATATTATACAGTATGTGGTTTTGTAAAACAACACCCATCCCAGTACACATGAAAGTAATTACAAGAAAAATATAAATAAAATTTTATTTAATCTATTACTTTACTAGTAAAAAACCTTGTTCAAATATCTCCTAAACTTTCTAGATGGTGCTTGTTACCACCCGCACCACCCCTGCGTACCCCGCTACACTACCGAGCATATGTGATTTTACCAGAATGTCCTCTTCCTCTGCCGTGAGGATAATATAGAAGCCCCATACAAACTGCCGGACTTTTTTGCCTGTCCTTGTTGTGCAACGTTATTCGAGGAACCCCAAACCGGAGGGCAGCTGTGCTTATCTTTTCTCCCATCCTTACATCCAATGCTCTCCCCATTTGTTCGGGGGTGTAATTTTTCTTTGGTGCCATCTTAAGACAAAACAAAGAACCCAATTATGGACAACTAAAAATACCCAGTTATGGACATCGTCCATTATTGGAAAATAAAGAGTTATCACAAAATCAACTCAACTCAAATGTTTAGTGCGTCAAATTAAATAATTAAATACAATAAACTAAAAAAGTTATAAAAGCCTTAAGCATGGACACTTGTCCATTACTGGATTTCATAAAATTTCGAATCCAGTAATGAACAAACCCCACAAAAAACTTATGGCTGTGATTGGACATTTACAACGTAGCTCAATTTACTTGCTATTTATTATTATTTAGTAAAAATAACATCAAATCTTATTATAACACAACATAAGATAACACCATGCACAGATATGTACTCACTTCCTAAACGATTTCAATAGTATAAACGGATTTTCATGACCACCGCGCGCAACGAGATTTCACTTCCCAGCTATGTTAAAACAAAGTTGCCGATTTTGGTGACGTGTGTCAAAATGATAGCCCAAACGTCTATTGGTTGTGATTTTAGTGTTGCCAGTTCAAAATGTTGCGACAGTTGCTTAATAAATTCGATCAACGAAAAAAATGTCCATAATTGGTGCCGTGTCCATTACTGGTGCCGTCACCCTAATACGATAGAGAATAATACAAAGCAATAAAAACCATCTGTTATAGGGGCATTTTTTTGAGAAAACCAAAAAAACACGAATTTATAAGCAGATTTTTTTCAATAAGTATCATTTTTTATTATTTGTTGGCATTTTCTTAGTATTTTTTTAGTATCTTCTGTTATTTAGCATTATCACTGTTTTTATTAAAAGTTATTACGTTTTCTTTACAATAAGTAATTTTAAGAAAAAAAATTATATAAAAAATTAAATAAAAATCTCAAAAAAATTTTGACCTCTTTTTTGTCGATAAAAATAGGTCTAGTTTCACCTAATTTCATATGTACACTTTATCGTGACTCACACTGTATAATTAACGAATCTAACAGTTCTTGCCCCAGTAGAAAACGAAGTCGCGTTTTAATGCGCTTTAATGCTGAAAATTGTCTCTCACAAGTCACTTGCGTGAATGAAATTGTGAGAATTAAACACTGTAATTACATAAAAAAAGCAAAATAAAACTTCCATCATTTTTCGGCAATTTTCCGAGTATTGCATTTATTAGAGAACGCAATTTTATTTTTGGGATATTTGTGGGTCAATGTGGTCAATAGAAGCTTAACCTCAAGTTTTTGGGGTCGCCACCCTTGTCCCCCAACCGCCATCTTGAAAAAAGGGGTGAAAACACTTTTTTAAGCGTCTTACAAAAATTCGCTGTGTTATAATTTGTAGCAAATTGTTTTGCCTATAAATATGTTTACACAGGCCCCTCTTTCCCACTGGGCACTATGGGCACGTGCCCAGGGCCCCACGACGGAAGGGGCCCCCGTCTGCTCAAAAGACCTTTTTCCAGATGATAAGACCCCCCTTGATCCTTAAGTGCCCAGGGCCCCTAGTAAGTTCTCTTTCAAGGTCACTAACATAATTATTATTACTGGACGGGATTATTACTGATGGAAGAAACATATTCCATAAACAACAACCACTCACCGATCAACCCCAAACCGGAGGGCGGCTGTGCTTATCTTTTCTCCCATCCTTACATCCAATGCTCTCCCCATTTGTTCGGGGGTGTAATTTTTCTTTGGTGCCATCTTAAGACAAAACAAAGAACCCAATTATGGACAACTAAAAATACCCAGTTATGGACATCGTCCATTATTGGAAAATAAAGAGTTATCACAAAATCAACTCAACTCAAATGTTTAGTGCGTCAAATTAAATAATTAAATACAATAAACTAAAAAAGTTATAAAAGCCTTAAGCATGGACACTTGTCCATTACTGGATTTCATAAAATTTCGAATCCAGTAATGAACAAACCCCACAAAAAACTTATGGCTGTGATTGGACATTTAAAACTTAGCTCAATTTACTTGCTATTTATTATTATTCAGTAAAAACAACATCAAATCTCATTATAACACAACACAAGATAACACCATGCACAAATATGTACTCACTTCCTAAACGATTTCAATAGTATAAACGGATTTTCATGACCACCGCGCGCAACGAGATTTCACTTCGCAGCTATGTTAAAACAAAGTGGCCGATTTTGGTGACGTGTGTCAAAATGATAGCCCAAACGTCTATTGGTTGTGATTTTAGTGTTGCCAGCTCAAAATGTTGCGACAGTTGCTTAAAAAATTCGATCAACGAAAAAAATGTCCATAATTGGTGCCGTGTCCATTACTGGTGCCGTCACCCTAGGTAGTTTAGTTTTGCATTTGAGTAGTAAAATATGTGCTTTCGTAAGTCGAATTTTCAGTTCAGTTAGGAGCTAAGAGTTTTCCCTGAGTTATTCATTATGTACCTACCTATCTATATAGACGTCAATTTACAAGAAAATACCCAATTACAACATCAAAGGACATTTTCCTTACATTACCTACTGCGAATAGGAAAAGGCCCATTCGTCACCCCGAACTACAGTCTGTTATTCGTCGTTTCTCTCACTCATAGACTCATATCAAGTGCAAGTCAGAATTTTTAGGTCAGATAGTTTGACTTGTTCCTTCCAAGCGACTTCCAGGAGTACCAGGGGTACGCCCATGCTTCCCCCTGGGTACGCCCACCCATGCCTGCCTGACTGCACCGTTGACGTTTTAGAATGCTCTATCTATTTGATGTTTTATGAAAACCCTAATTATAAATAGCTAATAAGTTGACGAGTGCTGTTTACTACAAAAAAACTTAGATTAACTTAGATTAAAAAAGGTTTTATTAATCTAAGCAAAAAAAATATACAGGTGTCCTTAGATTAATAAAAGGTTTTATTAATCTAAGCAGGTGTCCCATTAATCCCATTTTTAAAAAATCTGAAATATCATGTAACGAAACGCAGAACTTTCGTCATGTGTCAAACTTTTTGATTAGAGATAACAAAACGCTTTGTCAAAGATGGAAGCTTGGCGTCTTGTGTAAAATCTTAGATTAATGTAAAATTAGACATTCTTGGTTGATTTTTGTATTTAATTAATACCACGATATTTAGAGGATATTCAGGCAAATTAAAGAGAAGAAGATAAGTAGAATTTCATTTTTAAACAAATGCCCTTAATTGTGATTTAATGGAACTCATCATAGACTGTTTTCAAATAGTTTTTAGATGCAGAAATTCTATGATTTTATAGCTCTATCTGTTACCGCGAACCTACAAAATAAGTTTTCCGATTATTTTTATGAATGACTTAGTTATTAAATACAGCATGGAGCAAGTGAAAGTGTGTAGAATTTGTCTTATTATGGACGTAAAAATGTATGACTTGCGGTTACATCCTCTGGACTATTATTCAAAATCAATAAAAGTAAGTAAATGGTAAACAAAGTTTTTTTAGTTTTAAAAATATTAATTTGAGCTATTATGAAATTTAATTACACTAACTACTAATTAATAAGTAGTAATTGGGCTTGCCTATATTATCCAGTAAATTGTTATAAAATAATTTGCAATAATTTATTTCCAGACCTTGACTTCAATGGATCTTCCGCCTTACGCTTGTTTCGAATGTGCCGCGTTGATCACAAAGACCTACCACTTCAGAGAGAAATGTATGTGGGGTCAAACAGCTCTTTACAACATTATCAATTCCATTGGCATGGTAAGTAATAACTTATTAATAATAAGTAATAACTTATTACTAATAAGTTACCTACATGATAAAAATTACAACTATTTTAGACAGCATGTAAGCTTCTAATGATAATTTTGCAATAATAATAAAAACAAGTTTCTCATTTTATGGTGAATTATTAAATCACTTTTTTTTATTCAAACAATAATTATTTCCTCGTTACAGGTAACAGAACAAAGCGTAAAACAACTTAATAGACATGAATTAAATTTAGTTTCTAGTCTCTCATGTCAAAGTATTTGTATGGATAATACAATAAATATAGCGAGTGAAGAGTCGGAGTTATTAGCTATAAAACATGAACTGACTAATGAAGATGGAGTGGATGCAGTGGATGATGAACAAAAGTATAATTTGGACTTAGGGTTCTTCAAGCATGAGATCAGTGGTGATGATATCAGATTCTCTAGTGATGATGATGATGAACCATTGGTGTTACACAAAAGAAACAAACAAAAGACTACCAAAAGCAAAGGGAAGAAAAAGAAAGCAGATAAACAAATACTTGAAGTGGATTTAGAAGATAGTGCTGAATTTGAGGTAAATAATTAAATTTAGGAATAAAAAAATCTAATAAGTACTTAGGTAATATTGGTAAATATTATACTTAAACTTACAATTTATTCAACAGTACTGATCCATATCTTCATCTGTGTGGATATTCTTTCAGCAATTAAAGGTATATTCTAGACTAGNAGTACTTGCCCAGATTATTATTTGCTTTATTGTTATTATCGTTGGAAGTAGTATCACAATAATCATTTTTATCCATTTGTAGCGGTAAATCTAAAATTATTTTCTTTCTTGATGATGCAGACATCGTAAAACATATACTGTGACACTGAATTTACACTTTTTTATCATTAATATGACTCAGAATAAAGAAATAGTTTTAACCTCCAAAATCGAGAGTCACTGCGGAGTACAAACTCGTGTCTGATGTTACGAGATTGTTCGTCGGAATATATTTCAGATAAGGTGATGTTCAATTAGTTATTTCATAAAGTAAAAATGATATTTAAAAAATAATTACACATATATATAGCTACTGTGATACTTATTAGATTTGATCAAAAAACTATAATTCGTCTTATAGTAACATACGTGTTCGTTCTACGGACCCGTCGATGTTATTGCTTTGCCTTTTTTGAAAGACTGAGGACTCTTTTCAAGATAGAGATATCCCGTTTTTTGCAGGAACTGTAATTTGCAGAGTCCCGTTTATAATAATATATACTAATATTATAAAGAGGTAAAGTTTGTGTGTATATATATTTGTTAAATTGTAAGGGGTAATCTCGCGAAATACTGAACCGATTTTAAAAATTATTTCACCAATAGAAAGCCACATTATTTCTGTGTGTCATAGGTTGTATAAAAAACCGAAAATTTCCACGCGGGCGAAGCCGTGGGTGAACAGCTAGTAAATAATAATAATAGTATTTGTTTTAGACCATTATGATCCATACTGAGTTGTGTTAGTAACAATCTAAGTTAGTAGTGACAAAATCAGTGAAAAAACCGGTTTCTGCGTTAGAACAAGTATGTTTTATTTAATACTGAAATTCACACGAACATCCCGTTTGCAGTGTCCCGCAAAAGACCGATCCGTTCCATTTTGTAATTCGATTTTCAAACACACTCGTGTGTTCACACGGCAGTCCGGTTTTGCGGGATCCTACATTACTGGATCCCGCAAAACGAAGGAAGGTAAGTTCACCCGTGTTCAAGAGGTTAAACACGGATGAAATTGTTGCTAGAGATCTGCATCTTCTACCTTAATCAATTGTTGAACTCTTTGCAAATAGAACTGGCAATAAAGAACCTTCATCGCACATTTAAATTAAAAAAAATATTTAAAAAAGGAGCGACTTTCATTTCAAAGAAAAACTATTTTTATCGAATGTTTTTGTCTCTAATTAAATTTTCCCAGATGGCCAGCATTTACATAGTGTGACCTGTAAGGTAATTAGTGCTAATTTAATTTAGCAACAGGCGACTGTAGTTTTTTTGAAGCTAAAAATTAAGCACAAAATGGCAGTGACCGCTTCAGGTCCCACGGCTTAAAAATTACGAAAATAATTGGTAGAGTTTAAATAAGATAATATTTTGTATTTTAATGTGACTGCTAACATTTAATTTTGTGGAATCATTTTTAGATAAATGAACGAATAAAATTGAATAACTGAAAATAGTTGTATAATATTATTAGCAGCATGCTATAATCCAAACCAAGACTGCGTTTGAATTTGAAATACTTGAAATTAGGTTTTAGTTTTAATTATTTCTACATAGTAGAGTTCTTCTGTCGTGAGATTATACTTTTCTACCTTCTATTGTTCAGAAAATATTATTAAATTAGTAAACAGAAGTTGTAATTGAGTTTCATGACGTTCAGTTTTTTCTATATTATTATACATTTATCGAAGAGGTGTTAGGGCAGAAAAGAAGTAGCATATAAAGGCTCTTTTATTTTTTAAGGTATTTGACATTAGCCGTAATTAACTGGCAATACTTTCCTTTATTTTTAGAAATGAACATGCAAGTTCTAGCTATATCAGTGTTCACTTTAAGGCTCACTTCGACATAATGTCTTTGAGCGAATAGCTCGTGTAACAGTCCATATCAGTTGCACAGTTTCAGGCCTTTGAACGATCGTTTAAGAAGTAATTGGCAACCCTATCGAACAAGTTATACAGACGAGGGTAGCAATAAATATGTAAATTCAACGACGTTCAGTCTTTGCTGGCAAAAACAGGAATTTAATATCCACTAACAGTCTTCGGTAAAATTGTTATACCAGCTTTATAGCAAGACTTTTAGATCGAGTAAATTTATAATTTAACAGCATCGGAATAAAGTGACAATGGCGGTAAAATTATACGATTAATAAACGTTTACGATGTATTTTAATATCAATCAAAATGGTGTGAAATCCAATTTGGTACTACATAAAGTTAGTCGTTAAATAACTGTAGAAAATTACATAAAACAGTAAAATAAAAACATAGTTTTTTTCAGAAACATAGTTTATAACCTTTCTGTCCAACACCGAAGTGTCCCAGATAAATGACATTGACAGGTGGGCGCTACTAAAGATGACCTACACTGAACTGTCCCACCAAACTCATTGACAGGGGGGCGCCACCATCGTTCAACTAATTGTTTCCAACATGGCAAAAATCGGAACCAGCGATCCGGTATTGACGGTGGCGCCCCCTGTCAATGTCACGGATGGGACAGTTCAGTATATTTTGGTCTATATTACTAATACGTAATTACATAAGTGCCACTTGTGGTCTAAACTGAATAAATATTTTTGATTTCGGTTTTTTTTGATTTTAATGAATTATTAGTTCAGACTTTTGCCACGTTGGACTACACTGAAAATTTTCACATGGAATTATGAAACAAATATTCGATAAATAATATCTGTCTTTTGTAATTCAATGTTTAAACTCACAATTAATATTAGTTTAAGTTTTATTCAATCGAGTTTAGACTGGGATCCATAGCCTATGAAAACGTCCTTTTAAAATTATTAAATCAAAGTTAAGATTGCAAATTATATTTGGATAACTAGATTTTAAAATCTAGCTAAACAAATTAACAGACTATTTGTTTCATCAATCACTAAACGTAGGACGAAAGGAGAGAGTGTTTAAATTTTAATGTCTAAAAGTCTTGGAGTCAAAAATTTTTGGGTCAAGGAGAACTTTAAGCTTGAGGAATCGGCTCGAAAACATCCCGTTTTTTGCAGGACCCTATCGTATCGATCTCGAACCGTTCGTATTGGAATCCGAATTTCAAACACACCACACACTTGAATGTTTACACGACGGTCCAGTTTTGCGGGATTGCCGAGGGAACGAGCTCTTAACATTACAAAAACATATACTACTAAACGGGTTCCTGCAAAAAACGGGATGTCTCAGTGAGAAAAAGCCAAGCCCTAAAAGCGCTTTCACATTAGGGCGTTAGAAGCGGGACAACAGCGCGGCAGCGGCGTTTTTATAGTATGAAGGCATGCATCCACTGGTACAATGATATTTTCGGCAGCGCGTCTGTTGCGCGTCTGTCACGCGTCGGTCGCGCATTTGTCGCGCTGCTAAATCGCCTAAATGTAAAAGTGCTCCAAATCTCAAGCAACAAAGCAAAACAAACAAACACAAGAACTCTCAAAAGTATCGGAACATCAAAACAGCTGCATTCGAACTCGGAACAACGCTTACAAACTAATTGAGTCGCGACAAGTGATCTACTTACAAACTACTTTACAATGAAACTTGCCGGATTTCCTCCAAGTCCCGAACATTCCGCGTTTCGACTCATGCAAATGGAGGACGCGCGGTGGGGTGGCCATGTTTTGGGATAAAAGAGATATTTGATAATCAAACATACCGTTCAACAAAACAAACAAAACTAAATTGGTAAGTCAAATTATGTTCCTTAGCACGATAGGCGCCACGCAGCTCTACACAGCACCGATAAGCTTCGAATAATTTAATTTGTTCACATTCTTGTCAGATGCAGCGTGAGACGTCCAGCCACAAGGTGGACTGACGACCTCATAAAGTAGCAGGTAGCAGGAAGCTGCAGCTGGATGCAGGCCGCTACCAATAGAGCGAAGTGAAAATCATTGGGGGATACCTATGTTGAGCAGTGGGCAGAGAGGTCCACTCCTGTGGCTGAAATGATGATGATGATTCTTGTCAGATAAAAGACACCAGCGATAAGTGTATCTAAATATCTAAAACTATCTATTAAACATAAGCTATGTAAGTTTTGGTAAACTTTAAAAGCAAGCAATATTCTGTAAAGTTAATAAATACTTTCTGCACATTCCCAAGATGCGTGGTGACCCCAAAAACACGCGACAACGTGACAAGCCCTTCCCGCGACTCCGCTTGTAAATTAGCGACAACGCGAACTTTCGGGACCCCGCCTCGGTTCGTCGCGCGTCCCACGTTCGCACGCACTTAAAACTTCTGTTTTGTTACCTCAAAAAGAGCGACAGCTTTTGTGTGAACTACAGTTCTTGTCAACTGTCTTTTCTTTCAGTTTTTACCCGACTGCGGGAGAAAAAGGATTATGTTTTGGTTCAGTTTTAAATACAGGGTCAGAGAAGGCAAAATAGGTGTATAACGTTTTAAACAGTTCAAGTCATAAAATCATTTAGTTTCTGCAATAGGCTTTTAAAAAGCGCTTTCACACTTTCCACTATTATTTAAACCCTACCACTGCTTTGGGACAATAAATGGGCCAGAAACTCGGTCACTAGCTCTATTCTATTTCATAATCTACAACCACAGTAAAATATACTTTTTCTTTTACGTACTTCTTGCAGTTATAGGGCTATTTTGATATTACACCAATTATTAGTAAACAAGACTGACAATAAATTCACATTTCACTCATCTGCTCATTTTATTCTATAGTAATAAATAATTACCTTTTTTCCGCAGTCGGTTAAGAAAACAGTAAAATACTACAGTGGAAGTGGAATCATTTATTGTACGATATAGAGCCACGTTGTATCTCACACGGTTAAGTCTACGAGCGATTTGTTGGCGCACGTAGCACCCTAGGTATGTATCAGCCTTCGATTGGGTAGACCGGGAGCTTAGGAGTATTTAG